ATCAGATATGATGAAAATAAATCCCTGCCTCCTCCTATTAGGCAAATACACCTCGCACCTTTTCGATCTCAGCTGCTCACAGTGCCTCAAGCAAATCCAGCCACAGTCAAAGCTTATCTTGGTGACTTGCTGGACAATTGATAATAACAAGGACCCAGGAACCCCGCTCAGAACACAATCTCCATTCCCTCCACTCCTAGAGCAGATAACAGAATGTGGCAGATATCCCTTCTCCCAGATAACAGATGTACAAACCTTACCCTCATTATTTCTTGCATTTATTCGCTGCTGACTACTTAAAATGTCTCAAAGCAACTTACAATTACAGAATACAGCATCAGGTGCAGAAAAGCCAGGCTACTCTTTCACAGGTCTCTTGGCCTTTTGTACCAGACCTAAGATCCTAAGGCTTCTTTCTGCTGCTCCTTTACAATACAAATGCTACATGACAGAAACCACTCACACTAAAAGATGACAGTGACAAAGTGGTTCATTCTTACATGGTTACGAAGACCTATCAGGGCACAACTTACCTGTAGTGCTGCCAGGATTGCTAAGGGACATGCTGCTAGTCACGGCTTCTACAAATATTTCAACACCAGCAGTTTCTGTTCCTACCACAGAAGCCTCTGTTAAAAGCAAGCTTTGTCCCACCACTAAGTTCTCACTGGAGATGCCATGGCTGTTCTCATTTCCTGCATCTGTTGAGCCGGGTAGCAAGAGCTCCTGGCATAGTGTGTTCATCTTGTCTCCTCCCACAGGTTCCGTTGTAACTGCTCCTGTGCTCATTGTCATTCACTCCTCAGTGTAGCCTTGCACCATGACATAAAGTGGGGTACAGCTCCTGTTAAAAACATAGCAAGAAAATGGTACCATTGCTGTCCTGAAGAGAAGCAACCAAGGATTAAGTTTTTCAAATAAATGAGTATGGGGTGGTTTTGTAATGCCCAATATTAACTGTTAGCTTTGTTAGTATCAGGCAGCTATTAGAGTTGGCAACTATGTCTGCTTAAGTGGAAAGCTCAACAGGACAGTATTTGGTTCAGGATGGGAAAATTCAGGATATTCACAGATTTACTTTCCTGGAGAAGAGAAGAACAGAGGAAAGATGAAAGTTTATGCAGCTATGTCAGTGGTTTTTACAATCAGCTCTGGAATAGACTAAAACCCAACCGTATGGAGGGCTTAAGGCAAACTGCTGAAGAATTTAGAGCTGAAAACACTTTAATAGTCTTTATCGCTGCATCTAGGCTGTCAAACCATAAATGGGGCTTGCTCTACCATTAGATAAGATAGCAATTTATTGGGTTATTTGCAGCCCACCCTCACAGCCTGAAGAGGTTTTGCCAGTCTACTTCCACGAGCCAGCACAGTCTACTGTCTTCTATTAGCTCAGTTAAAAGCATCTCCATTACTGCAAAACATTTTACATCCCAGAACCAATATGCAGAATGTTCTGCTTTAGCAACACAGCAGAGCCCAACACTACAATCCTGCAGACTTCTTCCTGTACAAGATTATATATATAAATCCAAGCTGTTCTTTTTCACTCTAGCTGGTAAAGGTATGTTAATTCTTCCTGTACTTTAATCAATAGGAACACTCGCTCCAGAATTCTTTCTTCAAAACTTGGAGTCTAAACACCTTGGTAATAGTTTCACACAGAGCTGAACTCCACCGCATTTATTCCAGATAAACCTGGCTCAGAGATGGGCTGTTGTAACTGGATGAAAAGCTAATTTCCAGGATTAGACTCACACTGGGACATACATTTTGGGGGTTTGAATTTGCTTCCTGTAAGAACAGCACACAGAACTGCCTACTGGCACACAGTAAAACTCACAAATATGTTACCTAATCATTTTGGCATGCATCTGTAGGTAATCATGCCCAAGACTGTTTAGAGGAAAGATTCCAGACCAAATTAACATAAGTAACAGCGTGCTAGATATGCAAGTGCCATGTATGCTTGATGATATAGTTACTTCTACGATTAGCAAAACTTCCAGAAAAAATGAAGGGCACTGCCCATTTAGACTTAAAAGTTCTGTCAGCTTCTGCCAAACTTTCGCCCACTATTGTTCCCCTGTAAATGGTATTTAGAAACATGATATCCCTGAACCTAGAGGCAAAATACAGCCATCACACCTAGAAGCAACTAATAGCCTTATTGTCTGTGAATTTGTCAAGCTCCCTTCTTAAAGTAACACGAGCTACTGGCTACCACTACATATTGTGGCGGTGAGTTCCATACCTTAATTACACACTGTATAAAGAAGTCCTTCCTTCTGTATATCCTGAATCTCCTATCCTTCAGCTCCGTTAGATGACCCCAGGTTCCAGTATTAGGAGGGAAGGGGAAAAGCATGGTTCTGTTTGCCTTCTCTACACCATGCATTGTTTTATACACATCTTACCATATCCCCTCTCCTGCATGTTTTTGGATAGCAGTTGGCAAGTGATCCCAACTAGCTGGGGTAAAGCAGCCCTGCAGGAATCTAGCCACCTGACTGGGTGGTGAAGTGGGCTTTAAGACAATGAGGCTGAACTTACACACCCGGTTTCCTCTCCTTCTCCTGGTGGGCTTCTTCTGCAGCCGTTCAGGCTCCCAGTGCCAGGCTTGGGCCATCTTTACTGCTCTCTGAAGTGCAAGGGAAGAGAAAGAGAGAAAAATCACTGATATTTTAAGGGAAAGGATGAACGAGGATGCCTGAGGCAGAATGGCCAGTAACCAGCTCCAGGGCTCAGCTTAGCCCTGTGGGGGCCCCTTCCTTTTCAGGCCATGACCTGCCCGCCCCAACCCCATTACAAAGCACACATACAACAGCATTAGGGGGCCAATGAGTCTCTGGGAGCACCTTTTGCCTTCCTTGCACCCCGTGAGACATAGTTGCCAACGTTTTCCTTTTTTTAATGGAAGTTCCCTTATTCCGAATAGGATTCCTTGCAAGAAAAGGGAAAAGTTGACAGCTATGCCGTGAGAGTCTTGGAGGGCCCACCCAAGTCAACTCACCACTGGGCACCTCCTTCCCTTTCCCTCTTTGGCTTGCTTGCCCACCGCCTTCCTAGGCCAACGAGGAGCCCCACAGCCCCTCCCCAATTAAAACAAAACAAAAGCTCTTCCTTTCACTCCCCCCCCCACCGAAGGAAGAGCGAGACTCGTCCCCCCTCCCCCCTTTGTGCCGCCCAGAGCCCGCTCCCACCCCGCAACTCTATGGTAACTGCTGACTGACGTTCCAGGACCAGAGGCGGCACCATAAAGGGAAGCTTTCCAGAGCGACTTCCAGGGATTGCCGTAACCGCTTTAAAGGGGTTAATCTTCACCTCGCAAGTCCCGAACCCAGGCAGGCAGGCAAATGGTTGGGATGGCGCGACCGCGAAGGAAAAAATATAGACACGTAACGCTCCCTCAGGGACCATAGAGTGCCAGAAAACGCGTCCGCTCTGCTGTCACATATAAGCACAGGAAATCCTGACTTCGGTTCAACTTCCGCCTTTTGAAGCTGGAGGTTATCGTAGAGATAGAAAAAGGTAAGAGTTGCACACTACCCTTATCGTAGCTTCTGATTTAGGATCGAATTCTCGTTCCTACTGCAAGATATACAGAGGATTCACCCCGAAGATGTCAAAACGACTGTCATTATGCATTTGTAGAGAATCATCATCAAAAGATATTTATGCTAATATACATTTATAACTTTATCCATTTTCATATCTCTATATCTAAGGGGACGATAGAGTAGAGAAAAGAATTGTTTCCGGTCAAAAGAACCATAGAGAAAAGCAAGGCAAGAGAGGCGCTATCCGGAGGTGAGGTCTATTGGGGAGGCGAACTTTAATGCGTGGAGAGCGTGTTCCATAGTCCATGTCTGCGGGTGTTGTTCCTTTATGCCGGGCGTGTAGAAGGGGGCACGAAAGAGAGGACCCTCTTGATGCTATGGGGGCGATTAAGTGCTGGAAGAGAAAAGGGTGGCGGGTTCAGACGATTCTCCTTTCGAGACAGGAAATTGAGCCTGAGACCCTGCATCATTTCAGCCGGGACTCAATGGGACTTAACCCCATAGAGAGGTTTCCTCCTCAGCATCGCACCCCTTTTAAAAGTGTGGAGAAAAGTATTATAAATCTTCCTATCTCTAGTCGTGGTAGGCAAATGTTTCCAGACCAGCAACCAACATTTGGGCTGTGGCTGACTTTCCAAAAAGACACACACACAAGTAATGAAATTGTTCAGAGAGCATCTTTTCAGTTTCTACTTTCCACAAATGCTATTGGAAATAAACATCAAGCTCCACAGAGCAGACAAAATGCTAACTCACAAACAGAAGAAATTCAAAGTGATTATGAGCTGCAAAACATGGTTGATCTACTATTTGGCGCCCATGTATTTGGCGCAGTAACTAGTTGCTGAGTTATGTTTCTCAAATACCAGTAGCTAGCTTTCTGGGTCACACAACAAGCTACATTTGAGTGACCTTTCAAAATTTGATTGTGGTAGCATGGGGAGGGGGTCTGCCCAAGAAATCAAAACCTTCATTGGGCATGCCTAAGCATTTGAGCTAGAAAAGGGCAGTCCAAATTGAGCAACTTCCCTATGATAAAGAACTACAATGGTGGGGGTGGGGGTGGGGAACGTTAGTTCAGGAAAAAACCAGGTAAAGGGGACCATGTTATATAAAATTATGCATGATGTGGAGAAAGCAGATAGAATTCCTGGTTAAGAAGACTTCTTCCCCATTCAGTTCAATTCAAAATATAAAGTGTTTATTGTGTTTAAGATAAGTATAAACGCCCTAGCTACATAAACTTTTAAGAGATGCTGGTACATCATGAACTATTCTACTACACAGTCAAATCTCAGTTCCCAAACACTTCCGTTATCATACGTTTCACCTTCCAAATGCTGAAAACCTGAAAGTAAATGCTCTGGTTTTTGAACGTTTTTCGGAACCCAAACGTCTGACACGGCTTCCGCTCAAGAAGCTCTTGCAACCAATCAGAAGCCACACCTCGGTTATCGAACGTTTCGGAAGTTGAATGGTCTTCCATAATGGATTATGTTCGACAACCAAGGTTTTACTAATTAGAAGTAAAACTTTACCACGCTAGCTCTGTCTCCGCCACTTCCCACAATGTGGAATGAAAACATACACCATCATGTAACATAAAACAATCCCATGACTGCAAGCACAGAGCAAGAATCCTAACAAACTCAGCATGCTATACGGAACCACACAGCATGTAACCTTCAGCTTCTCTGCTGGTACCTTGCACTGAGCAAAGCCTCTTCTCAGTGAATACCTCATACTCCTGCCAATGCTGCTGCAGCCTTGGCTTTATACCCATCTTTGCACATACACACATTAGAGAAAGAGAAGATGAACGAGTGACGCTCCAGGCATTTAGCCTTCGACTATTTTAAGCCACCCAGTGAAGCCGGTGTGCTAACTTAACAGAATGGGGAATGGGCTGCTGAAGACACGGCCCAAGCACGGAGTGCAATGTCACCAATTTTTCCAGATTACACCAACAAAAGCAAGCTAGGGAATATCCAGTTTTCTTTACACAAGCCAAAATGGCGGCAGCCTTGCTTTGCAATCTTTCAAACTACTATAGAGAAGGAAGCTGAATTCGTGAGTATGTATGCATAATTACTTGTATTCTGGTTTTCCAGTGGGGAGGGATCTGCCAGGGTATTTATTTTGCTAAAATAAGGTAGCATGAAAGAGGCTAAAGCAGGTGTGGTGAGACTTTGGCTCTCCAGATGTTGCTGAACTCCAACTCCCATCAGCCCCAGCAAGCATAGCCAATGGCCAGGGAAGGTGTTGTAGTTCAGCAACATCTGGAGGGTCAAAGTTCCCCACACCTGGGTTAAAGAGAATTTGTCAATAAAGCTTGTCTTCTGGTAACCAATATACTTGCCATCCATAACTTCATAATTAATTTGTTGGTTTTTTTCTCTTCCTCTCCATGTGTTGCTATGGTGTTTAGAAGAAATGCTGCTGGGAATGGCTCTTTAGCACTGGAGTTATTTCCCCACCCACAACAATGCCCTTTTCTGACTTTGTCTCGGCCCTGAAGGACAATCCATACTTCGGAGCAGGCTTTGGCCTGGTGGGTGTAGGTACAGCCTTGGCCCTGGCCCGTAAAGGGGCACAGCTTGGCTTGGTGGCTTTCAGGCGGCATTGTATGATCACCCTAGAGGTGCCAAGCAAGGACAAGAGTTACCACTGGCTGCTGAGCTGGATCTCTCACCATGCAAAGCACACCCAGCACCTGAGCGTGGAGACCTCATACCTGCAGCATGAGAGTGGCCGTATCAGTACCAAGTTTGACTTTATCCCCAGCCCTGGGAACCATTTCATTTGGTAAGTGAGGCCATGGAATGTCTTTGGGATGGACAGAAGTATTGCAGGGCTAATAAGGAAGTGGTGGTCATGAATATTGCATGCTTGCTCGTCCAGTTGTCTCCCCACCACCAGTTCCTGTTCACATGTTCCCTGCTCTGCTTCCAGGTATAAAAGGAAGTGGATCCGCATTGAACGGAACCGGGAGAAACAAATGATTGACCTGCATACGGGCACCCCTTGGGAATCTGTCACCTTCACAGCAATCGGTAGCAACCGAGAAGTTTTCTTCAACATCCTGCAGGAAGGTACAATAGCTCTCCTTGGTTGTAGGCTGGCAAGGGTGGGTAATACATTTAATGATGATGTTGGCGCTAGGGATGACTAGATCAGTCTATTTCTGGACCCAGGTTTGTTTTACATGTGTTCTTTACATGTAAGTCCATTCCATTCTGTTTCTGCATTAATCTACAATTTAAAAAAATAAATATGCAAAAAATCATGTTTAAATACATACCTAAATATATTTTTATGAAGTAGCTACAATTGTAGCTCATTGTATGCACTTGTATGCACTTGTATTTTATTCCAAATTATGCATTTTTCATGCCGTTGGGCATTTTTTGAACTGAAAACTGTATTTCAAAATTTAGAGAAGGCCAAGGTCTGATGGCTAGTTATGTTCTGTTCTGCACCTGATTCCAGGAGGTACAAATTATATCACTCTGCATCAGAATTCACAGAACTCCAGTTCCTTAAGTACCCCTACTTAGAGTTGGGGCTACCCTCCAAACTGACACATTCTCTTTGGTGATGCTTCCTTGCTTCTTTGTTATATTTAGCAGACAGGCGATTTCCCTCTTCCTCCTTCCCATCTGTATCCAGATGTGCAGTTAGCGGCTTTTCCTCAGCTTTGTTCCTTTCTCTGCAGCCAAAGAATTGGCTCTGAGGCAGCAAGAAGGAAAGACAGTCATGTACACAGCCATGGGGGCTGAATGGCGGCCATTTGGTTTCCCACGACGTCGGCGCCCGCTCACCTCTGTAGTGCTTGAGAAAGGAGTGTCCGAGAGAATTGTGCAGGATGTGAAAGAGTTCACTGGTAACCCCAAGTGGTACATTGATCGAGGTGAGTTTACTTTTCAGGGAGCGACATTCAGATACCCTCACAACCTGAGCTTTTCCTTTATGAGCTAAATTAAGGCAGGTGGGATGCCACTTACGGAGCCAGCATATCCCATTATTTAGCCCAGATTATCATTCTCAATGCCCTCTGCTATTGCGCACAGAGGCATCTCTGCTGCCATCTGCATCCCTTTCATTTCCAACCTGTCTGCGCCTTCTTCTTGCTTTGGACTCCCAACTGTGCTGATGCCTCTCTCTTCTTATGAGTGCAGCAGGAAGCATCTTCTTACCTCATTGCAGTCTCTGCAACAGCCCCTGCATAGTCCCAGTCTTTGAGAATTAGGAACTATTCCTTACTTTCCTACGAGAGAGACTGTCCTGGCTAGTCTCTGCACAGCCAAGTACTGATAAACCAAATGTTTACTAGGTTTCTGGCATTTGCCACAATATTTTGTATCAACTGTTTGCCAAGTTGGTTAAAGTAGTGCTAAACCTTTAGGGTGGCAGGATATTGGGTACTCTGTCAGGGCCCTGTGCAATATATTTCTTTCTCAGCAACTGGAATTGGCCACTATGGAGTGAGCTCAAGGCATCATCGATCAGCTCATTTTTATTCTCGGGTGTGATGATGGTAGCTCAGATTTCATAAGAAGTTGGAATAGGCTGAGTTTTCTGCCTTTTGACTAGCCTCTTTGTCTGTAGGAATCCCCTATCGGAGAGGATACCTGCTGTATGGGCCCCCAGGTTGTGGAAAGAGCAGTTTCATGTGAGTACCATGTCCTCAGCTTTCCTTCCAAAAGAACCCCTTTTCTCAAATACAAATGGATACAGTCTCTGAGGGTACCTCCCTGGGCACCTTGTGTAGCTCCTGGTCAGGAATCACTCCCCTCCAGCTTACCCTGTTTATCTTTGCACAAGGTGTTGTCATAGTTTTCTTCAGCGGAAACATTGTCCTCTGTCTATCACAGCACAGCCCTTGCTGGAGAACTTGAGTACAGCATCTGTCTCCTGAGCCTGAGTGACCGCAGCCTCTCTGATGATCGTCTTAACCACCTCCTGAGCGTAGCTCCTCAACAGAGCATCATCCTCCTGGAGGACGTGGATGCTGCTTTCGTCAGCCGGGATCTTGCTGCCGAAAGTGAGTGACAGGCAGATGGCGCCTCCCCACTCTTTTGTTCCAGGCTGCCCTTTTCTGCTGCCTCTGACTGAGCTGGGACCAAGCGTTCATCACCCCTGTGTTGTAACTCTGTGGAGGCATCCTGATTAAGTGCTGCGCAACTTTCCCAAGCTAATTGTTCATTCAGAGTGGGGGGAATGAGAGCTGAATAGTAGCTCCTTCCTCCAAGCTGCACTTTGCAATGGGATTCGGGTTGGTGACCTGGTGCTGACAAAGAGGGGTCAATGACTCAGGACACCAATGTCTTTTGGAAAATGTCTTCCCTTACAAACCTACCCAGACCCTTCGATTTTTTTATCCTCCTACTGTTGCCCACTCTGAGGGAGATCTGGAGTGTGGTGACAAGGAAGAGGGTGTTCCAGTCAGGGCTCCCCACTTGTGGAATGCTCTTCACAGTGGAGTCCTCCTGGGGCCATCATTAAAATTATTTTGGCACCAGGTAAAAACTTAACTCAGGTATTTGACAGATGGTGATGATTTGCTGGATGATATGCTTTGTTGCCAAGTTTTCCCCCCTGCTGCTTTACTGTGTCTGTTCTCTGGATTTTTGTACAGTTTCTTTTTAATTGCAATGTATTGCTCTCTTTTCTTCTTATTGAGTTTTTTGTTTTTTGTTTTGCTTTATGTCTTTAAAATTTTATGAGTTACTTTGATACTTCTTCTTATTGAGTGTTGTTGTTGTTGTTGTTTTGCTTTATGTCTTTAAAACTTTGTGAGTTACTTCGATACTTTTTACGTAGCAAGCTACCAATAGATTGAATAAACATAATGATAAATAATTATCTGCAGGCTTTAACGTGACACCTATTCCAAATCAGTTATCCATATACAAAGAGAGACTTGAAACAAGACAGGCGCTTGGGGACAAGTTTACAGCTTTTGCACTGTGGAAGAGATTCGCCAGCAGAGATCCTAGAGGCACTTCTTTTTGCCAGCCTTCTTTTGACATAGGATCCTGACTGTTTATTGTCCTGCTTTCTATCGACTTGCATTTTGCCACCAGGTGGCATGATTTTCTCTGACCCCTTCATGTATCTATTTGGACAGCAGTGTGTCAGGAACATTTTGCAAGCCACTGCACATCAGGCAGGGAACATAAAGCTGGTACTACTGTAAGATAAGACCACAACAGTGGGATTATTGCCCTTCCCCTGGAAGGCTATAAACCTAGGCAGAATTTGGGCAGCCCTTGGTCACAACTGTACCTATAGTGTCACTCCTTTTTGATCTCCCTCTGAGCTGTCTCTGTGCCGCTGTGTTTCCCTCCAGACCCCAGCGCATACCAAGGCATGGGACGCCTGACTTTCAGTGGCCTTCTCAACGCGTTGGATGGTGTGGCTTCCTCCGAAGCAAGGATCGTATTCATGACCACCAATTATGTGGACAGGTCAGAAGCAGTGCACAGAAAATGGGGGCAGATAGAGAGGTTGTTAGCTGCAGAAGATAACCTTTTGCTTGGGAAGGATCATTTAATGACACCCAAGGAAGGTAGTGGCTGATAGGCTGGAGTCTACAGTGGTTTAGGATTCTACATTCCTCTAGCAGCTAGATCAAAACTGTTGTAACAGAAGTAGGAAGGGAAAGGGGGAGGGGGAGGAGACAATGTAGCAACAACTGACAGTCCCATAGAGAAATTCCTTCATCACCTTCCCCTCACAACATGAAGTCCCACACTGGTGACGCATTGAAACCACCAGCCGGCATGTGGTGAGGACACTAACACCATGATAACCTCGCCCAATCCATTCCACTCAACCCTCTCACATTCGGTGCCAAAGCATGCCACGAGGAGAAGCTAGGTATCCCCTGAGACAGGTTTTTTAATCCCTCGGTAGCCCAAACGCAGACAGGAGCAGGACTGTTGTTTTGACTCAGAGGAGGGCAGTTTGTGTCCTACCCCTTGGAAGTGCTGTCTTTATGATGCAAAGTCTGCCTTTCTGGGGACCAGCTGGTAACTATTTTAAGTATAAAAAGGAGGAAGGCAGCAGGAATGAAGACACACTTCCTGTTCCAGAAGATGATACTATAGGAGAAGACGGAAGAGAATCTTATCTTGGGGCTCTTGTAGTCTCCAAGACCTGTGACACATCCTCTCCCACAAGCACAGGACTCTGCCAGCCATGTAAGCCTGGTGCTGAAGGAGTCATCTGCAGGGTAGAAGAGCAAATGCTCAGCAGACAGGGTCAGCCAGTTAAAACTGGCTGGGTAAGGCTTTGGGTAACGCTGGGGTCATGCTTGCTAGGGAGTGGTCTGGGGTATATATACATATGGACTTCTGCCTCCTTTGGTCATGCTGGTTTGCAGCATTTAACACAGAAGCTGAAGATCTGGTTCTGTCCTTGTTTACTGTTCCTGGTTCCATGCAGGCTCCTCTGAGATTGTAGGAGGGGATGGGTAACTTGGCAGGTATGGAGAAAGAGGAGCATGATGGGTGAGTGCAGCAAGACGTGGGTGTAGTTAAATTATAAGGCACTGTTACTTTATATTCTTTTAGAGAGTAGCTCAAAAAAATAAAGGGGAGAGCAGATTCCCCTAGCCCTGTATCTTCTTGGGGTTGGAGAGAGAACAAGGAGATGATACCCCAAGTGAGAGGAGCATAGAGAACCATATTTCCCACCTGAGCATTTGCTGAGCCTCATTTGTCTTCTTCTCTTTCCCTGCAGGCTCGATTCAGCCCTAGTTCGCCCTGGCCGGGTGGACCTGAAGCAGTACGTGGGGTACTGCTCAGAGTGGCAGCTCAGGCGCATGTTCCAGAGGTTCTACCCAGACCAGCCAGCAGCTGCGGCTGAGGAGTTTGCCAAACAGGCCGTGTCTGCCTCTGATCAGATCAGTGCCGCGCAAGTCCAAGGCCACTTCATGCTATACAAGGCGGATCCGGACGCAGCCCTTAAGAACGTGCAAGCTCTTATATCCTGACGTTGAACAAACCCCGAGACCGCTTTGCATATGGCTTCCCCAGGAAAAGGGTTGTTTGCATGCATGGATTTGTTTAGGCGGGGTGAGATAATCATGAGGATGATGCCATCCACATGTCCACCTCAGTGAGGCCACCTTTTTGTAAAGAAAATAAAGAGCAACCCAACATAACTCCTACAATGCAACTCTTGAAAATGAATAAATGTGAAGCTCAGGTGTTGTGGAACTTATGTCCTCCAGATGGCAAATGTTGAGCGGGGCAACCCAGTATGCATCAGGATTCTTGTTTCCAACAGCAAAGTCCTTTCCCCAAGCTCCGAATTTGTAGCTTAAACCTCGCCAGTTGAGTTTCACTATAAGTGGCTTGCTAACGTTTATCAACACCTTGTTGTCGCAGTTACCTGCCAGGGAATAGAAAGGGAATTACTTTTGTTTGTGGCTCCTCTTGACAAGTTTTTCTCCGCCTTCAAACTGCTCTGAGATGTTTTTTTTTGGTTTTTTTTAATAATCAAGAGGTGCATAAATTTTACAAGATAAGTAACTAAATCATCTTTGTTTTCTGTGACCATGTTAGGCATTCTGCTGGTTTCAAAAGCTCTGCCAAGTTTTATCCCACTGCGTTTAGAAAACGGGTCAGGCCCCCAACCCAGACTCCTCTGCCCTGCTGTGTTTTCTCTGCATAATGCTTCCCAATTCCTCCTCTGTACTGTCATTGATCAGCTGTTCATTACATGTTTGCCTTCCAAAATTCTCACTAAAGCAGGTGGTCATCATCCCTTTTGGGATCATTTGCAAACCTGAGAACTGCTGTGAGCACTAAGCACAAGCACATGCTACATTCTATTAGTAAGTGCAACAGAATGCTTCTTTCAAGTCTAATGTCAAATGGCGGGGGCTCTGCAGGCCTCTTTATAATATAAAGAACTATTAAGTGGGAGGTAATCCAGTAATTATTAGGAAATTCCTTTTACCCTGATCTCTACCGGTACAGACTGAGAACTGATCTAGTGAAAGAGCTCAAAGCTTAAATGACGGTAAAATTTTCCTGGGTCAGGTGGTGCCTCAGATAGCTCGCTGAGGATGTGCTAGTTGTGAGAAGAAGCTGGGTTAAGTTTGTGGGGTGACCAGACTGAAGCAAGCCTTCTCAGTGGTGGCTCCCCGTTTGTAGAGTGCTTTCCCCAGGGAGGCATGCCTGGTTTCATTATCTGCTTTTAGGTCCCAGGCAAAAACATATTTTTTTATTCTCCTAGGCTTTTGGCCATTCATTTGGGAGAGTACTTAACTATGTTTGTGGTGTCTTCTTCCACTCACATTTTTAGTGGGGCAGATTGACTTGGATCTGCTCTTTTATATACAATGAGCATTTTATGCCGTGATGTTATTCTTTTTCTTAGATTTTTTTTTAATGGTGGTTTTTACAGCGCAAGCTGCTTTCAGTCACTTTTGTGAAAAAAGCAACAAATAAATATTAATACTGGTGACGGTGATAATGGTGATGATATGATGATGATAATGTAGCTTATAGACAAACCAATGTAAGGAGAAGTTCCAGCCCACAATCACACGGTAGGACTCACCAAACTCTGGAGTCCAGTTTCCAGAGGGAGAGAGGCCAGAATTGGGATTTGTAACAGAGTCTTCGCAATCAGCCAGTTGTTTCTTGAGAGTGGCTATTTCCCTATGTGTCAACAACACATTGTTCTCGTCAAACTTTTCTAGTTCCCACACAATACTGGAGACATTGGAGACCTGAAACATATTAGCACATGTTTAATTGAACAGCCCCAAGCAATTTTCTACTGCAGCGTCTCCCTGTGTGTTGTGGTAGTAGATGTGTTTGACAGCTTTATGAGTGATTGAATGAGAGAGGCTAAAGCATGCGCAAACACACACACACACACACACACAGAGAGAGAGAGAGAGAGAGAGAGAGAGAGAGAGAGAGAGAGAGATGATGTAACCAATTACCTCTCTTGTTATTGTATGGATTGAGCATGAGACTCTTAATCTCTGGGACATGAGTTCAAGCCCCACATTGGGCAAAAAGATCGTGCATTGCAGGAATTTGGACTAAATGACTTTTGCGGTCCCTTCCAACTCTATAATTCTATGACCCAGAGACACTGACTGATTGTTCTTAATAGCTGGATCTTCTCCAAGGCTTCTGAATGGCTGGGAAATATCTCAAAGGTGCTAAGGGGGCATGCCTTTATTTCTCAAATCCTACCCCCCAGCTAAGCATCATACAATAAAGATGTACTATGTGTGAAAAGAACCTGCAGTTTTCACAAAAATTCAAAACCCTGAACAACTTGGGTCCAGGATATCTTAAGGCCTGCCTGAGCCCTTATATCTCAGCCCATCACTGAGATCAACCAGAGGCCCAATTGGCTTCAACCAGAAATTGGGCAGTTAGTGTCCTGAGAACTGTAGTTTACACCTCCCAGAGTGTTGGTACTGACCTTTAAAGCCCTAAACGGCCTCGGTCCTGTATACCTGAAGGAGCGTCTCCACCCCTATCGTTCAGCCCGGACACTGAGATCCAGCGCCGAGGGCCTTCTGGCGGTTCCCTCATTGCGAGAAGTGAGGCTACAGGGAACCAGACAGAGAGCCTTCTCGGTAGTGGCGGCCGCCCTGTGGAACGCCCTCCCATCAGATGTCAAAGAGATAAATAATTACCTGACATTCAGAAGACATCTTAAGGCAGCCCTGTTCAGGGAAGTTTTTAATATGTAACACTGTACTGTTTTTAACACTGATTGGGAGCCGCCCAGAGTGGCTGGGGAAACTCAGCCAGATGGGCGGGGTATAAATAAAATATTATTATTATTATTATTATTATTATTATTATTATTATTATTATTATTACAGTTCCCAGTACCTTTCACAAAACACATTTCCTAGGATTCTCTGGGGGAAGCCATGTGCTTCAAATGTATGGTGTGGATGTTGCCTAAGGGAATGCCCTTAGAATCCTCCTTGAGACCAGGAAACCTGCTAGTATTGGTTTTCCAATTGCAGGGAGGATCTACGATATGCTCAGCCACTGAGGTCCCCTTCCAGACCTCCTCATTCAATGTGTGTATGTCAGAGGAGGGGCAGTGGGGATGCTGTAGATGGAGATGTGAGTGCATGGCCCCAACTCCCCTCCCCTCCATGTGCTATTCTCACCCACTTTTGAAGAACATTTGAACAGGACTTAGGTGCATCTAGTCATTAAGTTTAGGGATGCATTAATATCTCACTGTTTGAATTCCAAAGGATTGCACTTTTGTGAGCTTAAGCTTTCTGCAAGAAGTCAGTGCAAGCACTTGCAAAAGGCTTGAAGGCACTTGTGTTCTGCACAGCCTCCCTCCTCACATCCCTGTCCTCAATTGCTAAGAAATCACCTTTGAGGCCAGGAAAGAGGATAGTGGTTGTGGCAGCAGGTGCTCAAAGAGCCTTGGCAGAGCATCCTTTGGCTCAGGGATGGGCTTAGTGCTACTAAGTTAGCAGGACTACCAGTCCCCAAATCCCTGATGAAAATGATGCTTGGCTCCATCTTACATGCCTTGGAGCAGAGGTTTTTGCCTTTGCTCACAACATTCTTAATTACGGTAGGTCCATGAGCCATGGAATGCTGAAAGTGTCTGTTTTTAAAAAAAAAAATAACGAGGAGAGATAAGGAAGGAATAACCTCTTTTGAGACTTTATGCTAGTGGTAAGCATTAAAATAGGCAAAATTCTCATCCCATGTTTTCCTGCTCCCTGAAGCAGCTCTCTAGCCATGGAGGACTCAGCATTGCACAGAAATATTTTAAAAGTTTCCTTGAAGAGCCCCAAACAGCTGCTGGAAACAGTCAGAACTAGACAGCATTAGTGATTCAAGGCAGGGAATAAATATTTGGCATGCTGTCTATGTGCCGAAGTGTGTCCCCTTACCTTGCTCGCTTCTTCTTCATAAATAGCAGTCAGGTTCTTATAAGCGTTTTCCAGGATAACCATCAGATGTGAAGGAAAAGTAGTGTCAGGGAGCTCTATGCTGCAGATACATTTATTGTCTTTGTCATCACTTGCTATTGGTCCATCGTGGAAGATGATCTGATCTGCAGCAACCTGGGATGATGGATGCAGAAAGGCAAATGGGATGCTTCATCGCTTGATTTAGCCCTTTCTCATAACCTGATAGTCAGCTAAGGTCAGGATAGTTTCCTGAGAACAGCAACCTCCCCACCACATCCTTTAGCCAGCAAATGCTCCCCATTCAGCACTAGACTGAGCCTTCTACATTGTGTTTTTTGGGCAAAGTCTCTTCCAACAGATTGTACTGAGTCTAGGTAGTTACCATTTGAAAGAATAAAGCTTCTACAATGGTACCTCGGGTTACACACGCTTCAGGTTACATACACTTCAGGTTACAGACTCCGCTAACCCAGAAATAGTGCTTCAGGTTAAGAACTTTGCTTCAGGATGAGAACAGAAATCGTGCTCCGGTGGCGCGGCGGCAGCGGGAGGCCCCCTTAGCTAAAGTGGTGTTTCAGGTTAAGAACAGTTTCAGGTTAAGTATGGACCTCCGGAACGAATTTAATACTTAACCTGAGGTACCACTGTAGTTTGTTTGGCCTATGAGCTGATTGCTCTCCTACAGCCTCAATCCACTCCTTTCAATCTACGCTTGCTGGTGCTAAACCACGATCCCTTCACACTCTACTCTCCTGCCCTTCCCTTCCCACTGGAGTATATCCACTACACTTTTATATTCAAAGCACATTCTTTCCCTCAAAGAATTCTAGATGCTGCAGTTTTTTAAGGGTTGCTGGGAATCGTAACTCTGAAAGGAATAAAGGACAATGCCCAGAAGCAGAAAATGCTTTAAAGGTATATATGCAGCTTAAGTAACTCACTTTAGTACTGAGTTCTGGTTGCTTCTCATGTGATTCCTGAACAAAACCATTGTTTCACAATATTGAATGAAATGCAAGAATCTCCAGACCCATGTCATGCCTTCTTTGCTCCCACAAGTCTTTGCATTGTTTTCTGCTCTTTATACCACTGTATAAATTATTTTCAAGTAGGAATTATTGCATTTAAAACCCTGTTTGATGTGTCAAAGCCAAAAGGAAATAATCATTTGTTTTCTCTTACGTCTTGGGCTTTTGGGGTGGTTCCAGGTGGGTGTTTATTGTGGAGTCGTAGAACTGTAGACTTGAAAGGGATTTCAAAGGTCATTTATTCCACCCCTGCTATGCAGGAATCACAGGTAAGTGTTCCTCATTCATGAATGGAATAATTTTCACAGCATCCCCACTACATCAGCATCAGATTGTTAGCCTGTATTTCCCTCCTAGTTAATCTGGATTTATCCTTGCTACGGAAAATCTGGTAAATTAAAAAAAACAACACACCACTACATTTGTGATATCTGGACAACCCATTTACAATATTAAGCCACTTTCTGGAAGTACTACATTTTGAAGGGTGGGTTGGGATTATCTAGGGATTTAAAAGGCAGAATTGACGTCCGAGGAAATTTCTGAAAGGCGGCACTTTGTCCTGGAACCTAGGCAAGTCAATAAAAAAAATCATGTGTTTGGGGCATTTTTGTTAAAAAAAACAACAATTTTCGGGGTGTCCTGGTTTTTACTTTTTGAAAAATAGCAACCCTAGGTTATCTCACTTCCACCAGCTGGTTAGCATTCCCTCTCTGGGCAAAATACTCACCAAGGAAGCCACAGCGAGGCACAGGAGCAGCCCAAACATCCTAATTGTTTCAGAGGGTTTGCTAAGTTGGTCTGGGACGTTTTTGTTGAACCCTCTTTATAAAAGGGACGGCACTGGGGGAAGGAGTAGAATGAGCCAGAGTGGAATATGCTGGGATTGGACTAGATGTTCTGAACATTTCAAATTGAGTGTTGTTTGCACAATGATGTGCCCCTCTGAGAAGGTGTTTAGGCCCAATCAGATAAAATAAGAATATGTGTGAGTGCGCTACAAAAAGTCTTCATGTGCTTTGTGCCTCCTCTGCCTCTGTTAAGACCACATTTTGAAATAACGAACAAAGAACACTGGAATATTTTAATGCCTCAGATTTTACCCTGATCCAGTCCTCCTTGCTAGGCCCTAAAGGACAAAAACGTGGGCCAGAAAACAAAAAATACACATGGTGGGATCCAGTTGGCGCACCTGTGCTCATGGAAGGGCTTTGGGTCTGGGGGAGATGCCCATGGTGCCCAATAGAGGAGGAGGGAACGGCAGTTTTTGCTAATTCCCTCTGTACCCCCAAAGAATCAGTTCCAGGGGGTTGAAGAACACTCTAGAACACAGTGAATTGATGAAAATGAACTCCACTCCTCTTCCATTATCAGATGCCTTCTCTGAGTGGAAAGGCATCAAATGGAATCCACCTCACACATCACATTGGCTCCGTACTCCACATGTGTCATGATGAAAACCCACTATTTCAGGCAATTATTATACACCATGCAAACATATTATCAGTGCTTCCCCTCCCCTAAAAAAACGTTTAGGGGTACTCTCATTTTGACTCAAGAAAATCACCATTTTATATCTCAAACTGGGAAAAATAAAAACAGTAAATGACAAAAGTACAAAGATTCACAAAATGTTTAGGGGTATGCGTACCCCTGCGTTCCCCCAGAAAAAAGCACTGCATATTATAATGGCAATTCCATTAATGCCAAGCAAACCTAGGTCCATAACTTATTTCTGAAGGTTAGTCCCTCATCCCTGCCAGCCAAGGTTATGATTGAAAACACAGAATGGATATTGAGCTGAATAGAATGCATTTGTTAATTTGGTGCCCAGATTTAATGGGGGAAAGAGCTGATTGGTCAGCTTTAAAGATATTGGGATTCTAAGGATGTCATACCATTCACATTTACCTGAGCTGGGAGTAAGGTCCACTGAACTCAGCAAGGCTCACTTCCCTTCTGAGTACAGTATAGGATTGCACTGTAGATTCCATAGAAACTCTGTTGATACTTCCTTAGTGGTTTCATTATATTTATTAAACAGAACACCGATTGTCCATTACTGATCACTGTTTTGAATGGAGAGAACTCCCTACACATTATGTGTGCATGGGATATTTTTAGAAGAAGCTCACTGTTTGTTCTGTTCCCGGTGCCAATAGGTACTCGTTGCAGGGGAAACCTGGCTATCTATGGAAGCATAGACAGTATGTACTGGCCTAGGGTCGCTTACAGTTATTGGAACTGTTAGCTAACTTCAAAGGAATGAGAAGCTCTTTATTGTGACTTGGCTTGGAGATCTGGCAATGCTGCTTCCTACAGTGAGTGAAACTTACTGCAAAGGCAACAAAGCAGAGATAACTTGTGACCATTATATGTCTAACCACTGCTCTTATATATTAGATGGAAGATATGTGTTGTAAGACACAAGGCACACAACCCCATCAGGATTTAATATAAAATATCACTAAGATGGTTCCACCACTTTTATTAGCGCTGCCTGGGAATTTTTAGAAACCTGTTGTTGCTATTTTTAAACGGAGTGTAATTTGTGAGTTTAGACATGTCCCGCCAAAAATTGGGTGAAGTCATGCCAAAGTCATGTTTTGGTCTGCCATCATGATTCAAGATGGTGTCCAGGAAGCCTGTGTAGAGTGGGGGGAGCCAGGCATACCTGCCCCGGGCCTCAGAGGGCTAAGCCAGCTGGGGGACGGGGCAGGGGTTTGCTGGACTGTCATGCCAATAATACCCCATTCCTCCCAGTCAACAGGGGACTTCTGCCATGGGTCTCAGACAAGCTCTGCACAGGCTTGGCATCCAGCATCCAAACATTGCCAAAGATTGCTGCCCCCATCTTGGGAACCCTTGTGCAATGTTTCGTTATGATCTCGACAGATGACTGAACCTGTGCCAAAAATGGGCAAAGTAACACCAAAATAATTTATTGGTTCACTATTTTCATTCAAAATGGTGCCAATCACCCAAACATCAATGTACACACTCACTCCTCCCACCTTGGAAATACTTGTGTCGAGTTTAGGCAGTGGAAGACAGGAGTGCCTGGCGTGCTCTGGTCCATGGGGTCACGAAGAGTCAGACACGACTAAACGACTAAACAACAACAAACAACCACATATATATGTGTGCGCACACAGTAAGCTATGTATGCCGTAAACAGCACTGCCAGATCTCTAACGATTCCCAAGTCTGTTTGATCTGAGTTAATGGTTACAATGAGGTTCTCCATGCAGGCTGGGTTAGGACGTACTGTTAGTGCCATTGAGTGTTCTCCTTGAGGCGGGTGGTTCCACTTCTATTTATAGCAACACCCAGGTGTGAAACAGCACTTGCTCTTCTTGCCAATGTTACAACAGCAAAACATGGAAAGGGGGTTCTTTCATACATTGGGGGGGTGGGTGGAGAGAGAAGATACTTGAGGTATTAGTTTTAACCCAGGGTGGGACAGTAACTCTATCACAGACAAATAGGCGAAAGCATGGGAAAGACTAGGAAGGTTCAGGAAGAAACAGATCCTGCACTTCAGAGATTTTATAAAAGAAATTGCTGGATGTGGACAAAATGGAAGAAAATGGGGTGGGTTTATGAAATGAGGGCTAAAGTCCTTAAAGGATCGAGAGCAGTTGGTAAAAAGGAAGGCAGAACAATCAGGAGACAGCAAAACAATAGGGGAAAGTGTCAAGCAGAGGATGTGATCAACAGCACAGATCCAGATGCCTTGAGACCTACTCAAAGAAGGCACAGCCATTCACCAAGGATGTCAGAATGAAAGAAAAAGCAGCAGCTGTTTCCTCCATGAGTACGCTGTGTATGCCCTATAATCAAACACTTGTTAATAGTGATGGATATTTTTTAAGGATCTCAACAGTCCTAGAGAGCAAATGGGACAAACAGTATTTTGTTCACCTTCAGTCCTACAACATGGTACCCTCACTCCATTGCTCCTCTTGTCCCTTTATTTCCCAGTCTCATCCCTTCCTACTTGTCTGTTTGGCTCCTGTTCCAGTTTTGAGCACGTTCATCTCTCTTCTACCATACCTCCCACATGGCACCGTCCCATTACATATTTCGAAGGGATTCAGTTGCATATCAGAAAAATAGTAAAGGTAAAGGGTAAAGAGACCCCTGACCATTTGGTCCAGTCGTGACTGACTCTGGGGTTGCGGTGCTCATCTCACTTTATTGGCCGAGGGAGCCGGCGTATAGCTTCCAGGTCATGACTAAGCTGCTTCTGGCAAACCAGAGCGGTGCAAGGAAACACCGTTTACCTTCCCGCCGGAGCGGTACCTATTTATCTACTTGCACTTTGACGTGCTTTCAACTGCTAGGTTGGCAGGAGCAGGGACCGAGCAACGGGAGCTTACCCCGTCGCGGGGATTCGAACCGCCGACCTTCTGATCGGCAAGTCCTAGGCTCTGTGGTTTAACCCACAGCGCCACCCGCGTCCCACAATCAGAAAAATAAGTCTATACAATTCAAGTGGAATAAGTGCTTTGCTGCAACAAAATCCACTCTTAAAAACCAGACTCTTTGCAATTGGGGAACTGCATGAAAAAGTGTGGTATAGAAGACGGAAAAATATATAGATGGAAATATATATAACCTCCACACATCAGGAAGAGTGTTCATCATTGTATAACCTCCCTTCAGATCAAGATGGCTGCTCAATAGGGCAGAGTCAGACATCGTATATCTGCATGTTTGGTTCAAGCAAATCAGGAAGACTGCTTAGTTTAACAGGTAATCTGAAATAATCCATCCAAACTCAAATGAACAGTTTGTGTACTCTAATAAAGTAACCTGTCATCCAGCTCTTACCTTCTTTCTTTTTTTACCTAATGCACACTACAGGAGCTACATGCACTTTGCTCACCAATTAGCAAAGTGTCAGCAATTAGCTATATGCACTTTGCTCACCAGTTAGCAAAGTGCGTTTGGGTCAGTTTTTATGACCCAAGTTCCTAAGATGTATAGCTTTTAGGTATTCCTGGACCTGGACCTATGTCTGTATTATAACCCTGTCCAAAAAAGCCAATCAGGATCTAGATACTGTGTTACCCATGTTTTGTATTCTATGTAGGCTCCATTCATTATTGTTCAGAAGTTTCAAGTGGTGCAAAATGAAGCAGCCTTTCTCCTTAGAAGAATAGTTTACAAAAAAAGAAAAGAAAAAGAAAATGTGAATCCAACAGAAAGATGTCCAAATTAGAACCCGATTGTTTTTCATTTATAATCAAAAGGTACTTCATTTTAGCTAAGAAGTCTTAAACTACTTGGGTCATAGGTTAGAAATCATCTAAAAAGAGGCAGGGAGGTAATATTGTTGAATGGTCTCATCACATGCAGCACAGCAGCAGCTATGTTCTTTATCCATGAAAAAGTCATAGATTGGTTTACTCAAATTGCTTTTAATACTCCTGTTTTGCATCACATCACCACAAATTACACCTCACCACAGTGCAGGGAGGTAAATCAATCTTACATCAATCCTTTTAATAGGCAGAACTGCTCAAACTGGTATATGTGCATGCATGCAAATGAGTAATGACATCCTTTAGCCTCTAGCATGAACTGGTTTAAAATCAGTCACATTTCTATTGTAAGGTCATTTTGGCCACTGTGCTCTGTAAAGTTGTCACACATCTACAACGTTACTGTGGCTAAGCAGAAAAGGAAAATTATGAAGTCTGGCAAAGCTTCACTTGGGGAGGGGTGGGGGACATTTTGCAGACATATAAGGAATTTAAGCAGCTTGGGAACTTTCACACAGCCTAGGGTAAAATTTGTTGTGGGGGGAGGAAGGCCATAAATATGTGAAAAAATAGAAATACAAGTGGAGGAAAGTCTGCTCAAAATGTTTGCATAGTGGCCACATGTATTCCATATTGCTACAGACTCCTCCTCTGAGCAGAAATACCCATAAAGACAAGGCTGCATTTTGCTGAAGGAGATGACAGGGACTGTGTAGCCTAAAAATAGGTAGGTACATTGGTATTACCCTCCCAAATGGAGAGTAGAGCTGTTCTTGAATGGTGTGTGGGTGAATGCACATACACACAGCCATAAGGTTAGGAGGGGAAAGACAGTTGAGCACGAGAGATTTCTCACCCCAACAAAACCAAATTTGGCTAGAATCAAAGATGATAAGATCTAAAACATAAGTCACATGAACTCTGGACAGAATTGCAGTTAGTAAACCATTGCAGAATATTACATTTGTGAAAATAGGCAAAGACAAGAGCCTTGGTGTACCTGGAGCTGAAGCCTTTGATGCCAATTCTAGCTCCAAATCCAACTACCGGGTGAGTAAGGAGTTGGACTTCTTATAATTTAAAGGTCCTTTAGAATAGGCATGTTTGATGTTTGCACTTCAAGGTCAATCACTACTGAACATTAGCCAATTACAATGAGGCAGTGGGAGACCCCAACATTCAGTCTGGCCACAGTTGGGGGGCTTAAAGAACCCTCTGTGGTCAACAGCCGCCAATTCAATGTTGATTAAAGTCCACTCTTTTCACATATGCCAATACCATCAATAAGGCATGTCTAAAAATAGTGACACTATTAATGGCAAGTCCTCTCCATAGTTCTGGACAGTAAACAAGGAGACCTGTACTCCCTTATGGTCCTTCTATTTTTAGCACCTATTTTAGAACAGGGTTACTTAATAGTTATTTTTCAAGCTTGGCTTTTAGTTCAGTGATTCAGCCTCAAACAGTCCTCTACACAGTGCTGATTGACTGTAAGATCCTACAGTTTACCCATGGGCAATAGCATTCAGTTATTTACTACAGTCCACAGACAGTAATTCTGATCTCTGAGGACAATATACCCCTACTCTGCAAGACATAAACCGCCCATGGCCGAGAGGAGAGTTTCAAGACAGATCTGCTTTTCCTTACAATCCAGGCCAATGGTTGACAGCACAACAAAATCACCTGTGTTCACCCCTAGAAAAAGCCCCTCAAGCCTCAACTCCTGCCTGCTAGGAGCCATCCTCAGTCTCTTGGCTCTGCAGCTCTCTCCTTGAGTTCAATGTGGTGCGTCCTCGGCCTCTTGGCACTTTAATATAAGATCCATGTTCTCTGCCCTTGGTCTTTTCCCACTGCCTACAATCCTGCATCCCACGGCGACCCTGCCACTTGGCCGACCCCCTGAGCTCATTATGGCTAACCTCCAAGTTTACTTCCTCATTGTCATGGGCTTGACTTTTCTGCTCCTGCATCCATTTCCCCACAACATTTTTCTCCTCTCTCAAATACATTCCCTCTTTGGTTGGTGAGATTCCTCTGGTGCGCAGCTCTTTTTTCTCCACCAGTGAAGACACTTGGTCTCTGCTGCAAGATTTTGAGAAGTCTTGATTGTACCTCCCACAGCTTCGCTGTCCCCTCTCCTTTCTCCAATTGGGTCTTCTACTGAAGGTTCTGGATTTCCCCTCAACAGTGAGAAGACAATGAGTTTCTGCTGGTGTCTCCAGTGACTTGTAGCGCAGCTGCCAGCCAGGGCCTTGTATAGATGGTTTCTCCTCTCGAGTCCTCTCTCTCTTGCTATGGAAATGCAAAGGGACAGAAGGTCTCTCTGGTTTTTCAGGTTCATTCCTCACTGGAACAGCAGCCTCTGCAGTTCCTTGGGTATGTTCTGAGCCGACTGATGGCCTCAGTTCCTTGTCAGTATCCAGAACATTTTCTGAGATGGCTACTTGTTCATGTTCAGTGGTATCTGGGGGCTAAAAAGGATAGAAACCAAAATGAAGGGAAGAAAATGCATAAACCCAGCAGGCTTGATTCTCAGTCTGAGTGGCAAAGATCCCACAGGAATTAATATATTGATGTCACCCCATCTGTCTTCCCCAGGCTTTGCTGCTTAAATCTTTCCCTATAGTAACTTGCAAAATTGCCAGCAACAAGAGTCATTAGCACTTTAAAAGAATTGCCTAGGATGCAAATATCAAAGCTCTCTCTTGTGCTACAAGACAGGATGTCTCAGCAAGTAAAAATTGCTACCTCCATTGTTTCATTCTTTCCCTATGACCATTATCCTCTTTGTACTCCTGCTGCCTGCACTAACCTTTTGCAGGCTGATGAAGTAGCGATTTCTTTCTGCTTCAGGATCAATGATGCCACCTTTCTCCTGCTGCTTCTGATAGATCAGGCGCAGTTGTTCTCTGTGTTGCAGTGTCTGTGTGTCAGGTTGGTACACCTCCTGAGGAAAGAGAGGCATGTAATTGGATGACTGGCCCAAACAGAGCCTTCTGGGTCTCTCAACTCTCCAGATCTGATGGGCAAAGAGGCTGCCGGGGGGCAGGCAGAGAGAAAGACTGGGGGGGAAATGCAGCCTCCCACCTCCTTACACAGGCAAGAGCATCTCATTAGTAAAACTCCAGTCACAGCATGCTCCTCCCAGAGGATTCTTAGTTAGAACCTAAGATGCTATTTCTAAACACAACTAAATGTACCACCTATTTGTAACGAGGAAGCAAAGACACGGTTGACTATATCTGTTGTTTCACTCTGTTAATACTTTTTGCCTAAATGAAGAAGGGGTGTGGAACTAGCCTGCTATACAAACAATAAAATTCCTATGTGGCCCCTAGAAGGTTGAATAGAAAGGAAGACAGCTCCCTGGCTGAAAATAATTTCCTCTCCCTGGTGTAGAAGTAAAAATTGACAAGAATGTTAGAACTCATAACCACCTGCAGGCATACAGAGCACCAGGTATATGATGATTTGGAAATAACACTTAACAGAGCTCATTTGGAGAAATGGGGTTGCCCAACAGGTCCAATAAGTGAGAGAGATTAGTGAAGCAAGAGGGTGCCTGCCTGGTGCATCTTTTAAAAAGCAGCAAGTCCATGTGAAAGGTCTGTTTTGAAAGTTTCCTTACCATTGGCTGCTGTGGAGGTGGTGCTGCTTGCAATGTTGCAAGATCATAAACCAGAGGCTCCCTGCACACAGGGCACTGCACTTCAAATTCCTGTACAGAAGGTAATAACAACAAAATTCGGCCTTGGTTAGACCTAGTCATGGGATATACAGCTACTGTTCTCATACTCCACCAGTGTGTCTTAAGAGAGTAGTATTTTCCTGATAAACTGCTACTCATCCTGGGGAGCTCTAGCACTCAACAACAGTGTTATTGGCAGAAGAGTGCTGTGCAGTTTGACTAAAAGGTCACGGGACAGCCTGGATTCTGAGCTCATCATCCAAGCCTCCTGGGAACTTACAGTATTTTTCACTCTATAAGACACACTTTGACCATAAGACGCACCTAGTTTTTAGAGGAGGAAAACAAGAAAGCAACACAAAGCCTCCTGAGCGCAGCGGGAGGAGCGCTCCCGCTGTGCTCAGGAGGCTTTGCGGGGCTGTCGCTGAAGCCAGGAGAGCAAGAGGGATCGGTGCGCACCAATCCCTCTTGCTCTCCTGGCTTCAGCGACAGCTGCGCAGCCTGCATTCATGTGCTCCATAAGACGCACACACATTTCCCATTACTTTTTAGGAGGGGAAAAGTATGTCTTATAGAGCGAAAAATACGGTAATTAATTTCATTCTATAAACATCCACCAGTAAAGTGCTCTCTTTTATAAGATGCTACTGGGCCTTCCTAATGCAATCACAACTTGCATCAAAGCTAGTGCAAAAATTATCTCAGAGTGAAGATTCACCACTAGCAACCCTGCCCTCAGAACTATTCTATTGTTTGGGAGTGGAGGAAGATAACTTTTGTTTCTTGGCAAAGCTTTTTTGTGTATGTTGTAGTCCATTCACAATCTTTACCACCAGGAAACACACCAACACAGGTGTTCAAGAAGATATAACGTGAGTATACTTTTTGGTCACTTGTACTGCAGCTGTGAAGATTGCCTTTATCAACAGAACTCCAGTTCCTTAGTATTTGAAGCAAATGAAGATATGTTGACCATCTCCTCTGGTCTTTAACTAGATTCCCAGACTTTACACATCACTTAACTTTTTGTTCTCTGTAGACAAAATAACTTACAAATGCGAAAGTATGCACAGCACTGAACCATGGAAAACCATTTCAACATTTATCTGGGAAAATCTTGTCCACAGCTCTCAACGCCGTAACTAATAACCAAAATGAACTGGAAATGTTGATCCAGATTCAGAAGCCATTCCTGGAGGGAAAAGTTGGTGAAGTTCTAGAAGCAGCTGTGGGGTGCATGTAAGGAGCTATTACCTCTTTGGGCAGAGGTGCCAAAGGCTGTACTCTTTCTTTCCTCTCTGCACGGATCTCTTCCTCCATATGCTCTGTATAACTGGCAAGGCAACGTGAGTGAAAGTAGTGGTAGCATGGTGTCTTAGTGAAAGCTTCGTTTTCCTGCACAGGGGAAGGAACAGATTCCTATTAATACAAATCAGCTACACTGTGCGTTTTCAGCATACATTGAAATAATAATTCCCATTCATCCAATTTCAATTCAATTCATATGTACGGTAATATATGTGGATGCTGGCTCAGATTCAAACAATCACATTAACAGGGGCTTTTTGCACCCCATTCCCACTGTTACTCCCCTTCCCACTATGGGGACACATGCACACACTTTTGCAGAACAGAATGCAACACAACACTAAGGAAGGGATCTAGAGACATCCCAACAAGTTCCCATTCCCTCTTCCTTCCTTTTTGAGTGAGTCCCAGCTTCACCTCATTCTTCCACCTCCTTATATTAGTGCTTTTATTCCCTATGGCTCCCCACAAATGAAAACAAGATGCCAATCCAGCATGCCCTTACCTGAAAGCCATACAGGCAAATCACACACTGCCCATGAGGGATGTTGTTGTCTGTAAGAATTTCCTTTCCCTTCTGTGAAGACAGAGAGGGTCAGTTTGTCATTTCACACAATAAAGGTGCAACAGCCCAAGCCATAGGTCTGGACAGCCTGCCTCCCCTTTCTGTTCTCTTACCTCTATTAGCTCATATAGCATAGCTGTACCCAGCTGGGCCTCAGCAGTACATTGTAGTGTCTGGGAAATCCTAAAATGGAGGCAAAAAAGGGGGCAGGGTAAGGAGAAAGGCTAGAATAGATGTCCAGGGAAGTGAGATGGCAAGAACTGGAGTGGCTGAATCAGCCACTTGCAATAGCAATCTCAACACCAACACAGGATGGGCGCCAGCCTCTCACCCAGTATCTCATCTGACACAGTAGCTACTTCAGTACAAATTAGAAGGAAGTGGTACCAGACTGAAATTGAAAAAGCAGCTTGAAGCCCTTCTAGGGAGGAAGGGAAGGAAAGCAGGTTCTAGTAAGCCAGGTGTAAAGAGCCACAGAAGCTGGGACTTTGTTTTGGATGAAGATGCTGCATTTCTGATACAGCAATGTACCAAGATGCATTGCCTCTCATCTCTTAATTTTGTCCACCTATCAATAACTTTTAAGGGAAAGATCTCCTTTAACATGTATTCTCCCAATGCCAATTTTACACACAAACACCATAATTAATTTATATGTACCCAAACATGTTGCATACATGATTAGAACTTCCAGTCTTGTTTGTAACCTCATTCCCCATGCTCCCCAATGTTAGTAACATAGCAACAGCCTTCACAGCACAGCTCTAAATTAAGAGAACAGCTGCATAATACATATTCCACATAAGATCATTGGGCAGGTGGAACACAATATAAAGAAGCTCCCACCTCCCCACACTTTCCATTAAAAGCGTGACAGACTGAAACAAAGAAAACCTTACTTCTTGCACTGAACTGGAAAGAGTTTGCATAGTACACTTACTTTTGGATTTGCTCATCTGACAGCCCTCGAGGATTCTGGATGGCTATCTTTGGCACTTCATTTGGATACTAATAAGAAACAAAGCCAAGTCAAAATGAGTAGTACAGCCATGCTAAAGTGTTATATAGCAAAACAGTCACTCAGGTCATACAAGGCTTTACCTGAAGAGGCACGGATAGCACCAAGGTTAAGCAGACGTACTGAGACTCCTGGTCCTCTGCAGTTGCTGGATGAAGGGTGATAGATATTTCCCACGGCACAGACCTAGGGTTGAAGAAAGGCTCAAGTGAGGGTCTGGTGTCAAATGAAAGGAAGATGGAACAGGAGAGATAATGCAGGTGGGTTGTTATTCCTTCCTTTCTCAGGCTGAAAGAAGATTGAAGCAGGCATAATGCAGACCTTCCATTCTCCCCACCCCATATTCTTACAAAGATAACTATTTCAGAATGGTAGTATCAAATACAAGGAGGGGGGAAAGAAGTGACTAATATTTTGGGAAATTAACAAACATGAATCAGGGGTTGCAATTCATTCCGAGTTTGTGCAGGACACTGTAGTCTAATCCAAAAACAGGGTACAGTCTTCTAAACCAGGAATCAAGTTCCACAATGACATATGCAAGATCACAGGAGTGATCAATACTTTAAAACAAAGAACCAGCAAAGGATCTGACAATGTTGCAATTACCTTCCGTTTCCTTTAGAAACATGTAGCTCATCCAAGTAGATGGACTCCAAGACTTCCACTTCTGAAGGCAGAGCCCTGAGTAAGAAAAAAAAATCATATGATATATAAGGCTAATTTCCTCACGTTTCTCCTGTCCATCATGTATGATGTTATGCGTGGGGCAGATAGAAATCAGGATTGAACTCCTATGCATTAGCTGATGCTCAGGAAGTTCAATTCAGCTCAGATCAAGCACATCAGCCTCTTCCTGCTGGGACTGGACTGGCACTTCCCAGTATGTACAGAGCAGGACAGAAACACATAGAGTGTTCTCTTGCATCAGCTGATGCAAATGGAGTTCAATTCTCCCCCAGGGCCAACAATGACAGTAGGTTGGAACAATCCATCTGTCAATCACCTGATATCAACATGTCACCGAATGATTGACAGGTAGGTGGTCCCACACACTCTCAAAATTGGCCCATTAGGGTGGGAGAGATAAAGATCTAGCCCATCAGGGCAAAACTGCTTTACAGTATCACCATGGCAGGCAAATCCGTGTTCAAGAAGAACAAATAAGACACACATCACATTAGACTCCTACATTAATTTAGCTTTGGGGGTCATGTAACCCATTTGTAAATGCTGACATCTTGTGGCAATCCAACATAATAACCTGAATTTAAAAAATGCCACTACAAACGCTTAAGAGGCTAGGCACTTGTGAAGGGGCACAAAGTCTAAACTAGCAGACCTTTGCTGCTGCCAGTGATAATGAAAACCACAAAAACATTTCTCTCTGGCTACTTCTCAGAATTTTACCTTACACACAATTCCCACAACAGTGGGTAGTTTACCATGCTTGAGAAAGGCTGTCATTCTCTTTCTGTTTTGATTCTGTGGCTGAAAAATGACACAGCTCCATACTGCAAAGGGCAGAAACACAGCTGTAATACTAACCGAGAGTGAGATTGTTGCATGGAGTATTTTTCCATAATATCCATAAGGAACCAGTGGCATAACAGCAGCCGACTGAGGAGAGATCTCAGTTGGCATATGCTTCTAGCCAGGTAACTGTGCGGCAAAGAGAAGGCATTTATTTCTCTATCTACAGTTTTTCATAAGGAGTTTCTAAAAAAAACAAACCAACAACCAACCCTGCTAGAAGACCAAAGGGCGAGGAGGAACAGGATTGGCCCAGGGAGTGGATTTTGTACTTGGCTTGGATACAAGATTCATACCGCTGCTTGTTCGGCTACTGGGCGCTGCCTTTCTCTCTCAGCCCCCTACCCTCAGAAATAGCGCGCGGGGGGCGGGGGGGGGTCGTGTGCTAGCTCACTCCCTGTTGTGACGAGACCCAGGAAGATGACGAACCACATCGTACATGTCGAACATTACGTAAAAACAAGACGAACGAAGAAACAAAAAAATTCCTTCGTGAAGAGATGGCCTGGGCTACAGAAAACAGAGGAGGAAAGGGGGGGGGATACGCCAGCCATTTGCTCATCTGCCTTCCACTGAGAGAGAAAGGAGGACACACAAGGCCGAACCGCTCCCTTACCAATCCGCAGCCAACTCCTCCTGCTCCTCGCTGTCGCCGGTCGCCGCCATCTTGACAGGCCCGGAAACTCAACCGCTTTGGAATGCTTGCCGGGTTCTCTTCCGGCGCTGAGGGTTGCTAGGCAGCAGCCGGGAGACGCCGTTGCGCGGGGCCTGCGCTGATAACTAGCCTCCGTCCGCCCCGCCCCGCCCTACTCTCGAGCCGCCGGGTTCCAACGGCCCCCGCCGGGGCTCAGCGCGGCAAAGGCTTTGTCAGACGGGGCGGGTGGGACGTGGGTGCTTCTGTCCTTCCTCTGGATTGACCTGGAAGGAGGAGGTTGAGGCGAAGGAGCCGGTGTCGGGCTGCAGCGCACAGCCCGACCTTGTGTGCATTTCTCTGCCCCATTTCACTTTTGTGGAGCTTACTCCTAAGTAAGTGGGCGTAGGATCGTCGCCTTAGGAGGCTCCTCAAGACGCCGTGGCCGGGTGAGGACTTTATACAGTATAGCAAAAGGGATTCGGAGAGTTGTGCAGGCAAGAAGATGGCTAAAAAGACTGTGTGTGGTTGATGGACTCCTGATGGGCACTTTGGAGCAGGGGTCCCTTAACTTTTTTCTTGGGAAGCATTAAAAACATGCCTTGCATTGGCTTCTTTTTCGGTGAAGGTGCTTGCTCAAATTAATTTTGTTATGAGACTGTCCCTGAAATATTTGGATGGTCATGGATGGCTCTGTAATATCCTAATGTCCTGGAACTTGCATGCTTTATTGGTGGCTAAGCGACTGGTTTTACAGCATTGCAAGGACTTGATATCTCCTCCAATAGCTTCTTGGTTGGAGGGCTTTCTTCTCATGCATCGTGTGAAAAAACTGCTTTTGCCTGGAGATGCAAAAAGCACAACTATTCTGAGATCTGGGACCCCTCTTTAGAGCTGTTTGCCTGATATGCATGCCATATTGGCTTTGACAGAGTCTATTCCCCTTTCCCCAACCTTTTCTGACTGCTTTGCTCCCTTTTTTCTTTTTGATTCTTGGTTTTGACCACATGTGCATGATTTGTATGCTTATTTTGCATTTTTCTGTTGTGAACAGCCTTGGGATCTTCAGATGAAGGGAGGTATACAAATATAATAAATAATAATAATAATTTTGCAAAATGGTATTGTGAATTGACATGCTTTGCCATTGTGCTTACATTTTTCATTTACTGTTCATGTTTAACTTAATCTCTTGTCTCTGCCCTTTCAGATTAATACCCACCCCTCTCCACATTCCCATCATGGAGAAGTATCATGTCTTGGAGATGATTGGTGAAGGCTCTTTTGGAAGAGTGTACAAGGGGCGTCGCAAATACAGTGCACAGGTAAGAGCACAAGGGAACAGGGGGATGGACCTCATCAACAGGAGAGTTAATTTAGGGAGATTTGTTGCCAAAGATTGCTATATAAGAAGTCTGTTCCTGAGCCTGCAGTGGTCATTGTTTCACAGTGAGTTTTTCAGGGACAAACAGAGGGGAAAGTAGTGTATGACCCATTTCCAGCCAATAGTAGTAATAATAATAATAATAATAATAATAATAATAAAAATAATTTTTGGCAGGTGGTGGCCTTGAAGTTTATCCCTAAAGTGGGTCGCTCACAGAAAGAGCTGAAGAATTTGCAGCGAGAGATTGAGATCATGAGGGGGCTTCATCATCCCAACATTGTCCAGATGCTTGACAGTTTTGAAACTGATAAAGAGGTAAGGGACTTGCTGGGAGTCCTTTTTAAATGTGGGAGGTGAAGAAGAAAATGGTGTCTTCCTGGCTCTGTGGAAAGTCCCCCAAGAAGCAGAAAGGCCTGAAAATGGCTACATTTTGTTTGATGAAGTTTAGGTTATATGGTGTTCTCCAGATGTCTCAATGAGTACCTAGGAGGAGTGAACTAAAATTTATCCATTTTGGTAACAGCTATCTAATTTACACATCTTGTCTGTGGAAGTTTGGATTGCCACATCAAGCCTATTGGTTCATGAGGCTGCATCAGGCAATTAACCTGCCAAGACCTATCAGCAGAATGACAATATCCAAAGAATGTCCCAACACACTTAGAGTTTGGAGCTCTCCATAGGGACCTTCATCAAATAAGAATGTGTTGGTAGCTGCTGCACACTCTTCTTTTGATGGTGGTTTCCTGTTGGCTTCAAACAGCACAGAGAGCTTAGTCATATTGTCATTCCCTACCCACAAGTGTCCCACCTTTGAAAATGTTCTCATTGGCATTCTGGTCTTGTTTATCTCCTTCAGGTTGTGGTAGTGACAGATTATGCTGAAGGGGAGCTTTTTCAGATCCTTGAGGATGATGGGAACTTGCCTGAGGAGCAGGTAACTATGACAAGAAGAGTGAGTGGGGATTCAGTGTGATGAATGACTCCAGGAATGGGAGAGTAGCTGGAGTGTGGGTAGGTGTCAGTCTCTGCTAGGCCATAAACCCTCCAGCTGTGTACTTTGACATGAACCTGTTACATTTCCTGGAATAGTGACTGAGGTGCTTACAAGACAGTCCTAATCTTTAAAAAGATGATCTGAGAAACTAGAGACCCATCCCTCTGAATTTGATACCAGGGATGATATTAGAGCAGCTTAAATCAAGGAAAGGTTTAAGGAAGTTGGTACTGTATGTCTTTTTGTTTATTACAGTGGTACCCCGCAAGACGAACGCCTCGCAAGACGGAAAACCCGCTAGACGAAAGGTTTTTCCGTTTTGGAGACGCTTCGCAAAACGAATTTCCCTATGGGCTTCCTTCGCAAGACGAAAGCCCATAGGGAAATCTCCGGGACAGGGCGTCTTGCCCACTGTCCTCGGACCTCCTCCCGCCGCCAGGCTTTGGAAGGCTGCTCTGAAGCCTGGCGGGGGGCAGAGAGGTTTTTTAAAAACCCCGGGACAGCGGAGGACTTCTCCGCTGTCCGGGGCAATTTTAAAATGCTGCCGGGCGGCAGCGCTGCCGCCCAGCAGCATTTAAAAAAACCCCGGGACAGCGGGGGACTTCTCCTTTGTCCCGAGGTTTTTTAAAATGCTGGCGGGCAGCAGCGAAGGCTTCGCTGCCGCCCGCCAGCATTTTAAATTCGCCCCGGACAGCGGAGAAGTCCCCCGCTGTCCCGAGGTTTTTTAAAATGCTGGCATCTTCCCCTTTCTCCCCGGACCTCTTTTGAAGCAAGGGGCGGCAACGCGGAGAAGCGATCTTCTCCCCGTTGCCGCCCCTTGCTTCAAAAGAGGGGACAGAGGGAAAGGCGCGCACCTTCCTCTCTCTCCCCCCGGACCCCTTTTGAAGCAAGGGGCGGCAAAGGGGAGAAGCGATCTTCTCCCCGTTGCCGCCCCTTGCTTCAAAAGAGGGGAAGGCTGGCGGGGGGCGAAAATCTTTGTCCCCCCCTGGCTGCCTTCCCGGGAGGGCTTTTAAATCGCCCCGGACAGCGGAGAAGTCCTCCGCTGTCCGGGGCGATTTTAAAATGCTGCCGTGGGGGGGGGGAGCAAAGACTTTCGCCCCCCCCCCAGCCTTCAGAAGAGGTCGGGGGACAGATTGTCCCCGGACCTGGTCTGAAGTCGGTTTCCATAGGAACGCATTAATTGATTTTCAATGCATTCCTATGGGAAACCGTGCATCGCAAGACGAAAAACTCGCAAGAAGAAAAAACTTGCGGAATGAATTAATTTCGTCTTGCGAGGCACCACTGTAATTTTTTAAACCAATTTATATATTGCTCAAATTGGAATATCAAAAGTGGTGTATGGTACAATATAAAAATACAATAAACCATAAAACATTACATACTCGGTCTAAAATTCACCATGATTATTAATAAGAAGATAGGAAGCTGCCTTGAGTCAAACCATTAGTCCATCTAGCTCAGTTATGTCTGCTTTGACTGGCAGTGACTTTCCAGTGTTCTAGACAAGGGACATTCCCAGCCCTATCTAGAGATGCTGAGGATTGAACCTGGGACCTTCTGTATGCAAAGCTCTACCACTGAGCTACAGCCCTTATCCTAAATAAATAAGAATATCTGGAGTCACACTTCAAGTGATGCCTGAGTGAACATATGTGTTTTGAACTAGCGTTGAATCTGGAGAAGAGAAGTCTAGCAGCAGATGGACATGATTGCAGTCTTCAAATACCTGAAGGGTACATAGAAGAGTGGAAATGCTTGCTCTCTGCTGCCCTCAAGGATAAAAATAGATCTAATTGTCTTAGGATAATACAAGTAGATTTCTGTGTGTTGGGGAAGGACTTGTGATTCACAATTGAGGGGCATCGGCAAAGATAACAAAAAGGAATGGAAGTTTTATGCTGGAGATGTGGAGCATCCCTACAGGATTAAATGGGCTTTGCAAAGTATCAGGGTTGTCATTTTCTTTCAGGTGCAAGATATTGCCTCTCAGTTGGTCTCGGCGCTCTATTATCTGCATTCCCACCGAATCTTGCACCGTGACATGAAACCCCAAAACATCCTTCTTGGGAAAGGAGGAGTGATCAAGCTCTGTGACTTTGGGTAGGTACGTTAAGAACTGATCTCCCCAACCAATCTCTGGTCTCATTACTGAAAGGTCTCAGTTGTTGTCTTATTTCTTTCCTGGGAAGGTTTGCCCGTGCAATGAGTATTCACACCATGGTGCTGACATCTATAAAAGGCACTCCACTGTATATGGCGCCTGAGCTAGTGGAAGAGAAACCCTATGACCACACAGCTGACCTCTGGTCAGTGGGATGCATTCTGTATGAGCTGTGTGTGGGGACACCACCCTTCTACACCAACAGCATCTTCCAGTTGGTGAGCTTGATCATCAAGGACCCCATCAAGTGGCCAAAAAACATGAGCCCCAACTTCAAGGTAACTGTACTTAAATGCCGTCCACACTCCATCCAATGATCTCAGGGCAGGTTTAGATGCATTGCTTCTTTAGTCTCATTTGATCCACACACAAGAGCCCTGTAAGGTACATTGCCCTGCTAAGGGCCATAAGAGATATATTTTGCTCTAGAAGCTTATACTTTTGGGTTTCCCATGACTCAAACTCAGCTATCTGTATCTCTGGCATTACACTGTATGTATCTGTGGTTTGAGTTTGTTCTCTCCTTGGAAGCTTGAACACCTTAGATTCTCCAATCCTTATCCTACCCCACTGCCTGTGGGGATTAGACTGGGATGAGTGTACTTGCTAAGGCAGGGATGCCCCCCCCAATAATTTTGACTGCATCAGCCACAGCCAGCATGGCCAGTGGTTACGGAAATGTTATCCACAATGCCTGAAGGACACCACATTGCTACATCTGTGCCAAAGAATGTAGTTCTGTGTGCAAACATGTTTTGGTGGTATTGGGGCCACCAGGTTTCTTTCTTAAGGCAGAATATGCAGCCATGTTTGCAAGACTTTTTTCAGTAATCTTCAGCGCTAGAAACTTAAAAATGAAAAAAATGGGAACATTCTGGAAAATGTGCTTTTTGTATGCATGGATTGAATAGACTCTTCCCACAGCGACCAAGGAATTTCATTGGCTCCAAGGTTTTCCTTGTAAAATTAGCAGCTGGGGTTATAGACTATAAGTAGTGTGAGGATGTGCAAGTGACCATCTCTCATTACTGTGTAGAGCTTCTTGCAAGGCCTGTTGATGAAAGACCCTCGGCAGCGCCTGTCCTGGCCAGAGCTACTCTATCACCCCTTCATTGCAGGGCTGGTCACTGGTGAGTACCAGCTGCCATGCTTACTTGCAATTTCCTCCCATCTGGCTCCTGCATCTGCCTTTCCTTACAGAGCCCAATTCAAGCAAGCCCAGTCACCGACCTTCTCTTTTGCAGTAATTGATGACACAGCAGATCAAGGCATTACCAACCCTTTCACCAGCAAACTGCCTCCTGAATTGCAGGCCCTGAAAGAGCAGCAGACACACTCGCTGGCCCCTCACAGTGGCCAGTCAAAGATCTTGAGGAAAGCACGGCAGAAGATGGCCCAGGAGGCTCGGAGAAAGGTGAGAGGCAGGTAGTACCATTGCTGGCAAGGCGACTTACAGTATGGTGGGGTCCAGTCCATTAGAATCTTCCTGTGTTGCTTGACTTCTTACAGGAGATGGGGAAATCCAGGGCTTCGTTTAAGGAAGAAACCCCCAAGGGGGTCCAGAGCCATACACGCAAAGCCTGCCTTGCTCAGACAGATCCCAGAGAAGTGAATCGGGCAGCTCCTGGCACTGGAGAAGAGAGGCACCTTAGCCTTGGAGGAAAGGGAATGGAGTGGGAGCAAAAGGAATCTTCCCCCACACCTCGGTGAGAAGAAGGAGTTGAAATGCATTTATTTTGTTGGGAATGTGGTATATGATACACGTGCAAGGGAAGTGTGGATCTAAAGCTGGCAGTACCAGACACCACACAGAATCAGAGTAAGGTCCAAATCTTTTACTGCTGTAGAAGTCATAGGCTCAGCAAAACAGCTCTGGACAAAGTTATACATAGAAACGTAAGTTCCAGCCTGCAGGATTTTCAGATAGAGATACTGTTGCTCTAAGTAATACCAAATGACCAAGACAACACTGGAAACAACTGAATTAGCTGACATATATATGTCCCAGCTTCTGCCAACCTAGCAGTTTGAAAGCATACCATTGTGAGTAGATAAATAGGTATTGTTGCGGTGGGAAGGTAAATGGCATTTCTGTGCTCTCTGGCACTCTTAATGGTGTCCCGTTGCACCAGAAGCGATTTAGTCATGCTGGCCACATGACCTGGAAAGCTGTCTACGGACAAACACTGGCTCTCTCAGCCTGAAAGTGAGATGAGTGCTGCACTCCATAGTCGGAGTTCTGCACTCCATTTGACTGGACTTAACCATCCAGGGGTCCTTTACAAGAGAAAACCAAAGCTGGGGTGAGAACATTTCATTGCTGTGTAGCCTGCCTTCAGCCTCTCATCCCTCTTCTTCATGGACAGAGAGAATCGGATCACACAGGATTACGAGCGGGAATTCCCAGAGCTGAGGCCAGAAAGTGGCAGAGCAGAAGCACGAGGCAGACGCAGCATTGACACTGTGGATCTGGAGACTGAGGTGAGCGCATGGCCAGGTACCACAGTCATTTGCATAGTTGCAAGGAAGTACTTTCTTGGCTTTCTGATGGTGGTGGTCCTCACTGACTCACTCTTGCCTCTTAGGAGTTGGATAGCGATGAGGAGTGGCAGCACTTGATAGATGCCACAGATCCTGCCCATGTGCAGCTGAGTGCCCCACTGAGCCTTCTGGGAGACCCTGCTTTTGTGCAGCGCATCCATGCCCGACTCAAGGATTCTGGTCGGCAGGTGAGTTGTAGGGAAGGGCTAAAAAACACACACACACACACGTTATGTTTGCTGTATGCTGGGAATGTCCTTCAGAAGCTAAGCGAGATTTCCTACAGAGAGAAGAGGAAAGAAACTGGTGGAAACTTGTTGAATTCCTTTGGTAGTTTTGGCCTTTCAGCTAGTACATGATGAGCCACATACATAGAGACTAGGGACAGCTTGGAAAGATGGAGACTCTTAAGACTTGACAGGGTATAGAGGTCTTATAAAAATGTGTGGATCCTAGAAAGGAAGCTGGGCTTGTCATTAACTCTTTAGTTGGAAGCAACATCTCATGGATGAATTTTGGGATGGCAAGAGTGTGCTGTGATGCTGTTGAAGACAGAGTGACTGTGGAATCAGTAGTTTGTATGGTGTTTCTAGAGCACTTTAGGCATTGGTGTGGGGAAGGTCTGTATGGGGAAGAGTTGTATGTCCTATGTACATTTACCCCTTTTCCTTATACAGGTGCTGGAGGGAATGCTGGAGGGAGCTTCCCATCTTCGCCCTGCCCTCCATGTTATTGGCAACTTGTTAGGTACCCGCTGTGACACGGAGCTGTTGTACAACTTCTGCAGTGACACAGGATTATCCCACTTCCTTGTGGAGCTAGCGGGAAGTATCCTGGAGAGTATCAACATCAAGCAGGTAGAGAAGAGGCATTCGCCAAAACAGGGGGTAGCCAACGTGGTGCTCTCCAGATGCTTTGGACTACAACTCCCTCCCTCCCAGCATGGCCAATGGTCAGGGATGATGATCACATTATCTGGAGGACACCATGTTGGGTACTTGCATTTTGAAGAGTTAAAGCATCTAGGTGTATAGCAGGCTGTTATTTGGACCTTTTTCTTATTGGACTATAATCCAAACTAAGCATATAGTATTTGGATTTTTTTTAAAAAAGAAGGTTCATTATGTAAAAGTATTTAACTTGCACAAGTTAAAAGCACTGTTAGAGTGTTTTGCAGAATCTGGGACATTTTTACAAGAATCATAAGCAGCTAGGAAGAAGAGGAGGTATGAATGGTGGACAAGGGGCTAGGAACCAAGGGCTTGGCTGAGTAACTTTATTACCTGATTTCTTGAAACCTCCACGGTGTCTGACCTTACCACAGCTGATACCAGCATGTTTAACATATATGTGGATAACTCTGGGAACTAAAAACATTTATTGGTGAGATTATTTAAAAGCCTCATTCTTTGATCCCAAATTTTGTGCTGCATGGAGTTTACACTGTAATGGAAAACAGTCTTTCCTCTACAGATTCTGTGCATCTGTACAAAGGTTAAATTTGGCACGAATTCAACCCACTTTACTCAGAACTCTGTTAGTTTCCTCCTCCCATCCTTCTTACCTTGGCAAATGATTCCGGTAGTTCTTGATTACTGGTTCTTTCTATGGGGCACCCAATCAGTTGGAATCCCTAGAACACATACCTCTCTCTCTCTATCCCACAGCAGCCCTGGTACATCACCCTACTGATAGACTTAATCACTGTCTTGTCAGCCTACTTTGCCAGTGATTTCAACCGACAGCAGAGTGGAAAGAAGCAAAGGTAAGACACTTTCATGGCAGATGAAATATGAAGGTGAATTATGCTGTGTTGTCGGCAGTATGGGAGTAGGCAAAATTGAAGCACAGTGTGCATGAATATAGTAAATACCAAAAAGAAGCAGTTTCATTCCACACTCTGATGCCTTGTGCCATTATTTAGTCTGAGAACTGGAAATGGCATATAATGTCCCTAGTTACCTGTCATCATACAGGTTCTGAGCATTACACAATTATACAGTACTGGCCAAAGAAAGGGAGAATCTGAGTGCCTGTGTTGAGCTCACTGCCATGTTTCAAGGCTAAGCTTCTATGTCAAACCTATAAACACAGATACTTCTCTAGTTTGCAGGCATTCCACAGTTCTGCCTGTCGCTTCCTTGTCCTGTTACCTGCACTGCTGGTTCAGCCCACAGACCAAGAGAGCAGGCTGCGAGAACAAAGCCTGATGGTAAGGGTCCCTTTGAAGCCCCCTATCTTCTGGTCTACTCATCTCCATCTTGTCTCAGTCTCTCTCCCTCCCTCTCCCTTCAGCATCCTTTAATGTTTAATGCTCAATTTAATTTCATTAAATTTAATTTAAGGGAAACTATATTAAACTTAATTCAGTTTTCTTCTCAATTTAATGTTCACTTCTCCCTGCCTACCCCAGGAACCTGTGTGTTTTAAGGCTTGGGACAGAAATGGGTTCCAACCTAGAGTTTGACTTTTTCAAAGATAAGGAGCAGCTATTGTTCCTACATCCCAAAATATATAACATGATATTCGTAGTACATTCATTTCTGTGCCCTCTTTTGTCTTTGGCTACGTACAGCATAGCATATGGCTTCTGGAAGGTTGCCCAGAAGGGAATGTGGGCCTCAGGTTGAAAAAGTCTCCCCACTCTTGCTCTAGGCTCCCCACAACTCCCAGACCTATACTATCCTCACTGCAACAGCATCCCTTGTCTCTTATCCTTACAGTGCTTCACCCACTTGTGTGAGAGCATGGATTGTGCCTGCCCATCCATCTCCATTCCCTTTTACACCAGCTTGTTTGAGGAGCATCACCGCCTTCTGGATGTGCTCTGCCACGAGGCTAGCTGTAAGCAGCCAGCTCAGGAAGGTAACAAATGCTGTGGAGAATGTGCCCATCTGACTGCATTTGGGGATAATGCAAAGTGCCTCCTGATTCCAGACTAAACATCTGAAAGAACTTTCTGACAGTAGGAGCTGTTCAACAGTGGAGTGCTCTCTCTTGGGAGGTTGTGGACTCTCCTTCCTTGGAGGTTTTTAAGCAGAGGTTGGATGGTCATCTGTCATGGATGCTTTAGTTGAGATTCCTGTATTGCAGGGGGGTTGGTCTAGATGAACCTTGGGGTCCCTTCCAACTCTACAATTCTATGAGAACAGGCCTTTTCAGTGGTGGCTGCCTAATTATGGAGTGCTCTGCCCAGAGAGGCAAGCCTAGTGTCATCTCTATTTTTATGCACCAGGCAAAAGTGTTTCTTTTACCCAGACTTTTCACTCTTCGTTTGATGGTTTAAAGGTAGGATGGATGTAGTAGACCTCCCTTTTATATGGAGGATGCATTTTTAGGTTTTTATTCTGTTTTAGTTTTAATATTTGTATTATTCTTGTAAGTTGCTTTGGGTCCACTTTGAGCAAAAAAGTGACAAATAAAAGTAGACAATAATAGATAATATCACTGTAAGTGGCATTTCTGTTCCACTTCCAGTTGGTGTATTTAACCTTACTTGGTGTATTCTGTTTGCTCCCCAACCCCCAACAGTGTTCCCCAAAGAAGCAAAGGCAGCGCAAGAGTGGAGTGAACACTTGGCAGTTGCCTCTACTGCAGCCCTAGCTGCATCCTGCGGCATCCCAGGAGGGCACAGCACATGTCATAAGGCCAAAAAGCAGGTGGGAGTTTTATTGGCATTTATGTTTCTGACGTGGGTGGCGCTGTGGGTAAAACCTCAGCGCCTAGGACTTGCCGATCGCATGGTCGGCGGTTTGAATCCCCGCGGCGGGGTGCGCTCCCGTCTTTCGGTCCCAGCGCCTGCCAACCTAGCAGTTCGAAAGCACCTCCGGGTGCAAGTAGATAAATAGGGACCGCTTACCAGCGGGAAGGTAAACAGCGTTCCGTGTGCTGCGCTGGCTCGCCAGATGCAGCTTGTCACGCTGGCCACGTGACCCGGAAGTGTCTGCAGACAGCGCTGGCTCCCGGCCTATAGAGTGAGTTGAGTGCACAACCCTAGAGTCTGTCAAGACTGGCCCGAACGGGCAGGGGTACCTTTACCTTTATGTTTCTGAAAGGTTGGCTATATAGCTCCCTCAAGTGGTGGAAACTGATAATGGTGTTAGCACTGAAGGCTAAGGGATTTCCATTGCAGATCTCTCAGCAAGTAGCCCAGAAGCTCATTGAGAAAGATAATGACCTGCTGCCAAGTCTTCTCTCAGGAATTGAGCGCTCTGCCTCTTCGCTCAATGGGATGAAGGTAACGCGTCTCCCCATGTTCCTTTTGCTTCTCTGGGAGTCGGGGGATTGGTGCCCAGGGCATCTTATCCTTGGAGGCAACATGCCTTAATGCATTCCCTTTTCCCTCCTCACTTGGGAAGAAAGCGATGATGCCTCGGTGGTCTGACCTTGCTTTGCATTTCCATCACCCAGGTCCTGTATGCCTGTTGCCATGTCAGTCTGACTCTGTGCCACCGCTTAGCAACTCCAGAAAGGCTGAGTTCCCTGATCTGTGCCCTGCAAGGCAAGGTATTTTTTTATTCTGAAACTGCAAAGAGAACTGCCCCATCATGAGCACATACTAAGTCTCAGCCCTAAGAAGGTGGGGTGGGGGAGAAAGGAAGCTGCCTCTTACCAGGTCAAACTATTTCCCCATCTGATACTGTCCACTCTGACTGGAAGTGTCTTTCCCTGGTCTCAATCAGGGGGTCTTTCTCGTCAACCTACTCCCTGATCCTTTTTTAACCAGAGATGCTGGGGTTTGAGAGTTAATGAGCAAGGAACTGGAAACTGTATCAGGGAAAGGATGGTGTGGAAACAGGAGAGGCATTCCAACATGATTGGCATGGGCAGGGGAGGGGCACTGAAATAACCATGGTTTTAGAGCAAAACATTGTGAGAGGAACATAGGATAGCTTCTCTTAGGAGTGGATATGGGATGGAAAGGTGATGGTTTGTGGGGCCAGTGTTTCAGGACTGAGCCTTGTCTCTTTGAAAGGTCCCACTAACTGGAGTGGCACAAGTACAGGCAGCTGAAGCCTCACTGAGACTCTTCTCCCTCCTGCTCCTCCAGCTACAGATCCTCCCACCTCAGTAAGTGTTGTTGCTTTGGCACCATTCATAATCTTGCCTTGACTGCTTGGGAACAAGGGAAAAGGCTCGCAGAGACTTAACTTGAGTGGTGTGGATTGGCAAGAAGTGGATTGGCAAGAAGTAAGGAGAGTCAGTGCTAAAATGGGGAGGCACTTGACAAAAAAGGAAAACTGATCTGCAGTTCTCCAGAAATGTCCAACACAACCCTGGTTTTGAGGGATATGCCCCATCGCAAAACGTGCCAGTCCAAGAGATATTTTGCAGGAAGATGTGCAGTGGTGCTTCACTGTGCTCTGTAAGCAGATACATCCCTCCCACTTCGCTCTTTTAATGTTTGCTGTAGCTGCCCTAAACTCAGGAGCAGCTTGCCCAGAGTGGGGCCCAGTAGCAATAGCCTCCCAGCTATTTACACAGTATACATAAGGAGAGAGCTGGCACCTGTGTTAAGGACTAGACTTCTGGTGACTGTAAGCTGTGTCGAACTGATGGTTTCTTAGTCTGAAGCAGAAACTACCCAGACTACTTAGTCTGAAGCAGAAACTACACATCAAGAAGTTTTCTTGATGTTTAGAAAATGAAATTACTGGTTTTTAGGATTTCACTGAATCTGCTACATGACATAACCACATTTTTTGAGCCACAGTGCAGCCCCAGCCTTAGTTTTTTGCTGCCGTTCCTTTTCCAGGCACACACTTAAGTGTCTGGCAAGTATTGCTAGCTTTAAAGATGAGGGCCTTGGCATTCGTTGCTTCATCCTTCTAATGCTGCTATTTCTTTGATTGTGGTTTAGGTCTGAAATAGTGCTGAAGGAAGCCGTGGCTCTTTTCAACCATGCAACAGCTACCTCTGTTCTAGTGAGTAATCTCTACTCCAGGGTAGAGTTTAGAACTGTCTATATAGATTCTTTTACCCCATATGTGTAATCTGATTGTCAGTAGCCCCAGCTGTAGGTTTGTACTCACGAGAAACTCTTCCACACTGCACCCGATGGCGAGTGATGGATTCTCACTAAGGTCAAGGATAGGACCAGACAGTTATCTTCCCTCACACAGTTGGAGGTATTGTAGACAGAGCTTCACAAGCTGTGAAAAAGAGGTATCCCACTGTTCCCACAAATGTGTACTAGATACTTCTGGACTGCAAAGAAATGGTCTGCCTGTTACCCTGTCATACCAGAGGTATCGGGATTGGACTTCTGTAGACTATGAAGGAGAAAGCAGCATTGCCATTCCTGCGGGGAGTCTAATAACTAGATTTGCATCCAGTGCAAGTAAAGCAGGCATTCTGGCCATTCCTGCACACAGAGGGGTCTCTCTGTCTTATGCAGAGTGCTGCAGGATTGCTGCTGACATACTTCATTCAAAATGGCGCTGCTGTGATGATCAGGCAAGAGGAAGCCATGGCCATTATAGCTACTGTATTCACAGAACCTGCGGAGGTAAGAAACCAGCTCCAGACAGACAGGGGCAAATCAGGACACATAGGCCACTGGCTGTGTCATGCTTGTCATGCCATATAGTGGCTGACTTTGAGGTCACTGTCTCAGGTCTAGTCCTTTCTCTTGGTGTCTTTCAGCTATGCCTGCCACCTCCCATGGGAGCTGGCTTCTATGATGGGCTCCTGCTCTTGATGCTGCAACTATTAAGCCAGGTATGACTTCATGCCCAACCAAGCAGCTTCCTTGCATTCTCTAGAGCAGCATTGGCCAACCTGGTGCCCTCCAGATGTTGCTAGATTGTAGCTCCCATCAGCCCCAGCCAGCATGTGGTCCAACAGACAGTTATGGTCTAACATCTGGGGGCACCTAGTTGACAAAGGCTGCTCAAGAGGATGTACACAAATGATCCAGGAGGTATTAGGGAAAGTATTTACTGTTAGGTGAAGCAGAATGGAGTAGGGTAAGAAATGGCTTGCTTAATTCTGCCAAGGCCATGTGTAGCCCCTCAGCTCTTGGCAGTAGGGAACTGGCTCTCATCCAGGTGCTGTCCTGTCTGTTCATGGACTTCCTTGGAGGTTGCCCTATCCACAACTGGAAGGGCCACTTTGGGTCAAAGGACGGAGCAGCCTTCCCCAACCTGGCATCCTCAATGTTTTGGGCCACAATTGCCATCACCCCAACCATTTTCTAATCTACACTTAACTGGGGCTGATGGGAGGCGGAGTTCCAAACATCTGGAGGGCACCAGGTTGGGTAACACTGAGATAGAGAAAGACAGCACAGTCTAGAACTGGACCTAAACAACTCAGTTTGCTAACATAGTTATACAGATATGATAATTTCCAAGCATATTTTCTGGCTAGGTGGCTCAGTTCTTTCTATAGAATTTGAAAGTTTAAGAAAATACTGATGAGGACATTGCACTATTCTTATCTACAATTTGCTGTGTATGTATATTTGTGCGCGTGAAGAAACTCCAGCCAAATTCTCACCTATAGCCACCTGCACATCACCACATTGTTTTCCCCCTCTTATGGACTAGAAGTTTGCTTCCACCCAATTAAAATAAATTATGATAGCTAAAATGTAATAAAAGCAGTCTTAGGATTCTGCAGGATTGACCCTGTTCCATCTTTGAAAATATATGTTGCAGTTGGTGGTGATGAAGACCTTAAATTCCCTAGCAAAATGGGGAGGGCAGTTAAGTCCCTGCCCTTTCTGGGCATATCAGCTGAGTTATGTGCAGCAATTCCTCTTAGTGGACGCCCAGCTTCCTGCTTTTTAGATACAGGTGGGAAGAGAGGTCCAGTCAGAAAGGGTTTAGGTCTGTCAGGCTACAGAGGGAGCATCCATGGAATTAAGGTGTCTCTGATGAGCCAAATCCCTGAGCTGCAATGCAGAATAGGGTGTTTAGGCTCCCATCTCACTGCTCTGGGGCTTGTTCCTCTTCTATCAGGGAGATGCAGCAGTAGTGCGGGAGTTTGCTACCTCCGAACTCTGGGGCATTGTGTGGCATCGCTTTGCTATGGTGCTCCACTTGACTTCTCAGGAGCCAGTGATGGAAGGAGACACCCCGAGAGCTGGCCAGCAGGCACCAGAGCCATACTGGAACCTCATCTCACCACAAGGTACAAAGTGGCTTTCCTTTAGTAAGAACCACCCCAGATTGCCTCTTGGGCACCTCCTCTTGCTATTTACGTGTCAGAAGACAGAGCTGAGGAGGTTCGTCTTTGTGAGGCTGTATATAAGGATGCTCACAGTCTTTCCATGGTGCCAGGCCTGGTTCTGGCAGTCACCTCTCCGATTGGGAAAGGCAAGGAGACATTGAATAGGTGGCTAAGGGGTACTCACTCGTACTTTCCCTGCTGTAGGAACCTTGCTCTTCCTCAGCTTAGCCCTCTTCATCTTCACACGAGAGCCTCACCAGTGCCTTCTCCAGCTGGGCCAGCCCAATGGGGTCATGATGGCAACCCTGAGCAAGCTGCTTGAACCTGACTTCCTGACTTACTTGGCACAAACGTGAGTGATAAATCCGGGGCTGAGCTATAGAAAGAAGTAAACCAAATGCTGCTAGAGTGGAACAAGGGCAGGGGGCTGCTGCATAGAAACATACTTGTCATTTGCCCAAACACAGCACAGCAATACAGTCTCCCCCAACCCTGATTTTGGTCTAGCTCCTCCCCGTCTTACCAACTCCCATTTTCAGCAAGAAAGCTGCCCCAAGACGCAGAAGTGGATGATATGCAACCTTCTGTGTCCCTATGTTCAATCTCAGGAATGTTCCAGATACATGCAGCTGAATCTGGCTTTCTAACAACCTTTGTTTTTATATTAAAGATGAAGTTTTTAGGATTATACTTGTCCGTAAAGGTTTTTATTGAGCAGGCCATTGGATTAGATTAGATTAGATTAGATTAGAAAGAGGCACTAGTTGTGCTCTGCATATCTCCCAAACTCTCCTCAGTTTCAGCTTCTTATTACAGCATCCCTATGTACACCTTATTCCTTGCCCTTTTCCAAACTTCGCCAATGTATTTGATTCCTAATTCCAAAAATTACAGTCAAAATAAGGTGTGCACATTAAGCCTATTTCTGATTTGGTATAACACAAAAAAGTTAAAGGACCCCTGACAGTTAAGTTCAGTCGCGAACGACTCTGGGGTTGCGGCGCTCTCCTCGCTTTAGTGACTGAGGGAGCCGACGTTTGTCCACAGACAGTTTTTCTGGGTCATGTGGCCAGCATGACTAAGCCGCTTCTGGTGAAACCAGAGCAGCGCACGGAAACGCCGTTTACCTTCCCGCCAGAGCGGTACCTATTTATCTACTTGCACTTTGATGTGTTTTCGAACTGCTAGGTTGGCAGGAGCAGGGACCAAGCAATGGGAGCTCACCTCATTGCGGGGATTCGAACCGCCGACCTTCTGATCAGCAAGCCCTAGGCTCAGTGGTTTAGACCACAGCGCTACCTGTGTCCTGCCTTGGTGTAACATATCTATAAAAGAACATATTTGCTTCTTTTATGAAAAACAGTGATTTGGCTCAGAGCAATTAACTTTTTGTTCAAGACATCCCTTAAAAGCAGCATGTAATGGCTGAAGGCCAGGCCAGGGCAGATGGAATATAGAATGTTGCCTTATACCAAGTTAAACTATTAGTCTACCTCATTTTCATTTATTGTCTACACTTGACAGATAAGAGGCTCTCCAGGGTTTCAGACCGGAGTCTTCTTTTTCGGCCCCATATGGGGATTGAACCTGGGACATTTTGCATGCAAAATATGCATATTGAGCAACAACTCTCCCCTTACTGCTATTGTGGCATGGTTACTAATAAATATTGTTTCACTAGGCTGTTTCAGTCAAGCATCTGGAGCTTACTATTGCAGCCCAAATATACTTACAGCTGGAAGTTAACACTTCACTATGACGGCTTTCCTCCCTCTTCTAGGCAGATGCAAGAGGATGGTGACCCAGAGCTGGTGTCAGCTGTTGTGCTCCAAATTTGCCAGCTGTTCTGTTTCCCCTTTGCTCTGGACATGGACCCTGAAACTTTGGAGCTTATCACAACAGGTCTAAGGGACTCTGAAATCCCTGCACGGTTACTCCAGGTAAAGCTTTTCCCATGTTGGTCGTCTAAGCACTAGAAAAGTGAAGCCAGGGGGAAGGATCTTACCTCTCTTTCCCCACTTTCCCCAAGGATGCAGACTCTGCCTTAGCCAGACCAGTTGTCCTGCTCCACACAAAGCAATGCCTTTCATCCTGATTCATGGTGGTTGTGCTTATGTGGATGCACTCAAAAAACTGCTTTTCATAAAATGAGGCACCAAATGCCTTTTTTGAAGGTGGTTGTAGGCTGGGGAAGGGATGGAAATGCCAGCCTCATAAAGACATAAGGGAATTTTTACCCTTTATGGGAAACATTTTTAGAATGATAAAGGTTCAGAGTTATGTCCAACAAAGTTTTCCAGTTTGTGGAAAGACTACAAATAGATTTTGTGGCTAGGGTGAGGAAAGGAAGTTCCATTGCATAAGCAAAAGTTTTTGCACAAACACAACTTTGTTGGTGCCAACTTCATACTGGTATGCACACTTTGAGACACTATTCTGCTTTTGCTTTCTTTGTAGGCCTGCATTCACCACCTTCCCTTCTCAGAGACAGAGTTGCCATTGAGTCTCCTGTGCCACTTGGTGCTGAGCGACGAGGGAGTCATTGAGCAGGTGGTGGGGGTGGCTGCCTCAAAGCATGCTGTTGCCTTCTTGTCTGCCATTTTGCTATCAGACCAAGTAGCCCTTACTGCAGACTTGCTCTCTCTGCTCACCCACATAGCCCGGGCCAGTCCAGCTCACCTGCCTTTCCTACAGAGACTCCTATGTGGTTCAGACTCTGCTTCCCAACCACTGAGCCACCTGCTGTGCCACCAAGAATGCCCGGTTCGTGCCAAAACTTGTAGCCTTTTGGGGAACTTGCTGCGCCACAGACAGGGGTTTCCTCAGGTTCTGCAGGACCAGATTGGGCTGCTGGAACATCTGCTGGAACGACTTTCGGATGAGGACGAACATGTGCGACGCTCAGCCAGCTTTGCTGTTGGCAATGCAGCCTACCAGGCTGGTCCTCTTACTCCAGCCCTCAGCAAAGCAGTCCCTTGGGTTGTTCAGCTCCTGAGTGATCCTCAAGCCAAGACCCGCTGTAATGCAGCTTCAGCACTGGGCAACTTGGGCCGCCAGTCGGTGGAACTGGAGGATTTGCTGATCCAGAGCAGGGTACCTGGTCGTCTATTGGATGTGGCCTGCCATGATTCGCAACCAGCTGTGCAAGAGGCAGCACTCATTGCTCTTCGATCTATTGGCCAGCAGCCCAGGATCCACCAGGTATTAGTTCAGCAACTGTGGGGGGAAAAGGCTCGGCCAGCTGAGGGCAGGCCCTAATAAACCAGCAGTCAGATTTATTGTGCTTCAGTTAATTCCTGACAATGCATAATGGAAGCCTTATTGCAAGGTTACCTGCCATGGTTGTTGAGGATAATGAAGCTTTGCTTGCTGGTCAAGAATTGAGGTTTGTACATTGGGGCAAAAAAAAAAAAAAATGACATTGGTAGGTTCTTGTTGGCGGGGGACGGGGCGGGCTTGAGAGTTCATTACTGCTATTAGCTGCCATATTCTCTTGACCCTTCCTTTCTATGAGAGAAGCACTTTACAAACAGTCAGTGTGTGATACCTGACTTGCTTTGCCATCGTAATAAGCGGTTATCAATATAACTCAACCTGTTCCATTCTTTCAAAAACAGTTGCACATAAGTGAGCTCCAAACTATCCCACCACTGGATTCTCAAGGAATAGATGTTTTTTTCCATGATAACTTTCTGTTGGTTCAAAGTGTCTCTGAGCTTATATTAGGTCACCCACCAGTAGATCTCATTCTTCCTTTACCTAGTTACAATCATCACTTTTTATGTGTAAGGGTGGTATCCAATGCACTTGCTCTGTTAGTGCAAGGATTGGCATTTGTGCAATGGAACTCTCCTTGATTCTTGTGCACCTCAAACCTTCCCCAAATTTGCTTTGGATGGCTGTGGAAGCCCCGTAACAGACTTAGAGGGTATGCAGGGAGGAAGGGGAGTTACTTTGCACAGCCAAAAGGCCTTGCACCGACAGTACACTGAATACAACCCTAAGTTGCTAGTCTTCTTTCTATGAAAACATGACTGTGTTCCCCAAGAATCATAGAATTATAAAGTTGGAAGGGTTCCTGAGGGTCATCTAGCCCAACCCCCTACAATGCAGGAATCTCAACTAGATTGTATGTGACAAGTGGCCATCCAACCTCCGTTTAACAACTTCCAAGGAAGGGGAGTCCAACACCTCTCATGGGAGTCTGTTCGTTCCACTATTGAACAGCTCTGTCAGAATGACATCTTTCTCAGTACCAGACGTTGAAGATATACTGGAGTTATGAGGCTCTCTATAGAATCCTATTGCTGTGTTATTCACATTGAAGGAGTTACCGTGTAATTACTCAAAAGGGAGCCTTGTTTTCAGTCCCATCCCCAACATAACATATTCCTCAATCAGCTGTGCATTACTTGCAGTAGATGGAAGTCCCAACACAGTGTCCTGATAATGCGGAAGTGATGTTAGAGGCAGGATTAAAAACACAGGCCTTCTCTAAGTAATTGTGGTAATGCCCTACATAGCTTAGCACAATAGGCTATGTCAGGGCACAATATATATCTGTCCCAATCTCCTTTCCAGGTGCTGGTGTCACTTGGAGCAAGTGAAAAGTTGGAAGCACTTTCATGTAACAAACCTCAGACTAGTGCTTACAGCAGCCCACGGCCCTCATCATCAAGGCATTGTAAGAAATTGATCCACCTCCTGCAGCCTGCACACAGTGCCTAAGAATTCAAGAGGGTTCCAACGTGCTCTTCCTTCCAAACACCAGAGGTTTGGAGAACCATGGAGCTGAAATATCATTGCAGCTACTGTCTTGGAGTGGCCTTCAATATGCCGAAATGTCAAGAGCGCGCTAGTCTTTCTAGCTGAAGTTGGAAGTAGAACTCTGTTTTACATCATCTGAACAGAGGTACCACAGTCCGCTGTTCAGTAAGGACACCATCCAAGCACCATTTTCTTGCTATGAACCATCCATGGAAAAAGCCAAGCTGCTGTGTTCTCCTATCTAAACAAGACGTGTAGCAAAAACCCTAGCTCAGTGCACTCTACATTAAGTGCCTTGGGATACTGGTCTTTGTTTTTTCTTTTTTTCTGAGAATTTCTTCCTTTCCCTTTGAAGAAGAGTGGACAGCCACAAGTCACCAAGCATCCCTACTTAAAAGCAGAAAAGAGAACAGTGGCATTGCTGGCCAGAATAAAGTAGTACCTCTTTTGCTTTGACTTTTGCAGGTTAAGTTGTGGGTCAGAAGGCCGGAAGCATTTTCAGTTTTTGATAGGAGTTATAGTATCCCCCCTGGAGCCTCTGATCAACTAATGGACTGCATCCATTATTTGTTTTAGTATTTCTTTGACTAGGACCCTGACCCAGTTGGTCTCTTGCTTTTTTTATATTTAATACTGTGCTTTTGTAATAAAACCTGGCTTGTTTTCTCACATGTTCCTCCATATGGATGTAGCCTAGAGGCAATTGATGGAAGAGTTGAATCCCACCCAGAGGTCTTAAAAAATAAGTTGTGGGTGCAGAATGGCATCCATTCATGCAACAGGGCTCCCTCTTCCCCTAAAATCTGTGCTAGAGGATTGGGGACCTCATTTCATGCATACCCACACCACTGAGTGCTACACTGAATTACACCCTATGCCAAAAACACACTTAGATGCAGAAAATATATGAACATTTTGCCACATAATCTACCTAACTTGAAACATTTGTTACAAAATTGAACATGCAAAATTATCTTCCATATTTGTGTTGGGGATTAGTGGGGGAATGTACAAATAAAAAAAAAGCAAGGTTGCAATTCTAAACACATTCAGCTGTAAACAAGCTTTGCTGAACATTGTAGGGCTTACTTCTGCATAAATGTGGATATGTGAGCCATAATCTTACATTCAAATAAAAGCAGGCTTTTGTGAGAGCTACTGTATCATGCAATGTGTCTGAGATAAGAAAACTCAGGCTCGGGCCCGAAATGCAATCCTCCAAGCCTCACTATCTAATCCTTAGGACTTTTCTTCACAGCCCTTAGCAGTCCCGCTTGAGTGTTTTTGCCTGGCTGAAATGTGTCCTAGCATAGTGATAATGCCCTTTGCTTGCCTCGATGTAGGATAGAAAGAACCTACAGTTCAAAGTTAAAATTTACAATCACCAGCACTAGCATGTGGTCTTTGGAAGCCTGCCTGAAGGGAATGCAGTCCATGGGCTGAAAACCATATATGCTGAAGAACCCAATGCACCTGTAGTAAACTAATTTTGCAAGCTTAGCACCATTTGTTTGGAAAGTCCATCTTTGCTGTGCATGGGGGCTAAACTCTGGGAACACTAGGTGTAGAGCCCATAGAATCAAAAGCAGCTAAACTGGATTAATCTTGTTTGGGTGATTGGATAAGATGAAGAGTTAGAACTTTTAACCCAAAATTCACATCTTTGAACCTTTTTTATTAAAATGACTACAGTTTGTTTTAAATATTTAGCCATAGAATAAACACCGCTACACAGTTCAAAGCCCTCTGCCTTTCCTGGGTGACATCAGCAGCCTCCCAGCCCTTCCTCAGAAGGCCCCTATCATGGAGCATTATGGCGCTGTTGCCACCAAAGGAGAGGAAGACAGCTTAGAGCTTCAGAGAAAAACACAAACATATAACATGCCTCCTGCACCAGAATGGGAAAGCTAGGGCTTCTGGCTGGTGGTAGGAGTAGCAAAATTTGTGCTCAGGACACAACACAAAGGCGAGCAAGCTCCACACTCAGTGCTACATGGCTGCCCATTTCCAAAGTGCAGACATTAGGAGGAAGCTGTATTAACAGGCATCCTCCCCTCAACATTTGACTGGGGCTGGGATGGGATGGGATGGGGCAGGCAACACAGGTCAGAAAGTAAACCAACACTGGAGAATATCATTTTGCATTTCAAGAAAATCATTGCCCTATGACTGAAGGAACCTGAGACAGGCAACCTTGATACAAAGAGTGGGCCAGTGACTGATTCAGCAAGCGATGAAACTTGAAGGGTGCAAAAGGCAAGAACTGGGGTCTTGCAAATGTGCTTGGAATTGATTGGTGGCCCCTCCTGCTGAGAGGCAGCACCTTCACCTTGGTCATAAACTCTCAGAAGTGCAGTTTAAAATGCTGAGGCCTGCAGGGCAAGCTATCACAGCTTCAGGGCCTGCATCTGCAAAGCTGCAGTCACTTGTGAGAATGTGAAAGCGTCAGGAATCGCCTGGAAGTGCCCAGCTTGAAAATTTTCAACAGCAAGAAACTGGCCAATTCATGACACTCCCCAACCCACCCAGCTTCTCCAGCAATCATTGGAAAACAGGCAAAAAATGAGATCCATTACTGGGAGCAAGCAGTATCCACTCAGCCGAGAACGCTATTACTGAAGACAGACTGCTGCCTCTTAACAAAGATACACACCCAATAGGGGGCATCTCTGTTTCCATATAATAAAAAACCCACTTTATCATTGCAACTTAAAATCAATATTTGAAAGACTCAGCCATCAGATCCTAGAATTAATATTCTGCAAACCTGTGCAAGCAGCAATAGGTATCAGGGGCAGTAACCACCTTTGGAGAAAAAAACCCAAACAATCCTCCACTCCCATTTAGTCCCTCCTTTCTCCTGAGAACATAAATGGGCACACTACTCCAATAAGCAAAAGACTATAAAGAGTGAAACCCCTGAGGTTTCAAAAGTGATTTGAGAGTGGGAGTAGAGTGGAGATAAGCCTAGAGAGCTTGGAGTTGGAGAATGTTCTTCCCAATGTCCTACACACATTCCTTTTCAAGCTGCTCTGCTCTTTTCCCTAAGGCAAGGCTGAGGGCAGCAGAAGATTGTGCTCTGGCCAGGGTACATCATAGGGCAGAGCTGGCTCAGCCAGGCCTTAGAGAAAGGTGACAAGAAGTAGATATAAGGGGATTTTGCTTTTAAAGTGCAGCAGTGGAAGAGGAAGCTTTCAAGTCACTGCAAATTGCTTTGTGTTTTCCCAAGTAGATTAAAGAGCCTGCAGACAGCCTGGCCTTGGAGTTGAGAATCTACAGGACCAGACTACCCACTTCCTGGAGCCCAAATCAGGTGTCATATTCACACAACTGAATAAAGGAAATTGGGTTGTAGGGTGAAAGTTAAGGGAAAGGGCTAGTGCTCGGAAGTGCAAAAGCAGCTGCTATTCTTGTACAAGGTGGGCAGCAAAGCTCAATTGTGCCCCCTCATCTTGTCCTGACAGCAAATATACTCCACACGATGTCTCCTTTGAAGCCCTACTTCCCCTCCACCCCAAAATTTCTAACTCAAGGGAAGAAACCCACCTCAACCCGTTTTCTCCATACCACCAATCCCTTCTCCCTCTTCCCAACTAAACAAACCAATGTTTTCATAAAAATATTTACAATGTAGACCCTCTGGCACCCCCTCCATCCAATAAAACTGCTTTCCTTCCTACTGGGGGGGGGCATGAACAGTGGGTGCGAGCAGCGGGGATATCTAGCTGTGGATGCGGCGTGCAAAAAAACAAAACGAATAGACAAAGACAGACAAATTGCAGCAGCAGACCAAAAAAGATTGCATCACCACTAGGAAGCATGGGCAAGACGCAACACCCTGCTTGGAAGGCCAACACTAGGAAGAGGACTCACTATTCCAGACATAACACTGTGAATGTGGATGTTTTGCCGTCCCCAGTCAGCACAGACCAAACTCTGCTGTGTGTTCACTTGTCCTTCCCTTGCAGCTGCAGAAATACAGGGGAGCAGTGGGACCTAGGAGCTGGGCAAGGATTCTTCTTCAGGAGGGAGAGCCGGTGTCGCTTGAGCCTCTGTCTCTCCAGAAAGGCCAAGCTCTGCATCCATCTGCTCCAGCTCCCTCTGATCAAGCAGCTCAAAATCATCAGCTTCCTCCTCCTCCCCCCCAGGCAGAGAGGCCGCCCCCACCTCCGCACTCTCAGACAGCTGGGCCTGGAAGCTCAGTCTCTCCTCGGGCTCAGTGGGCAGGAACTCAGAGAGAGAAGGCCCCTCGTTGTCCTCAGAGGAGCGGAGCAGGGCTGACAGGGTGTTCTGCACTACTGTACTGATAGCGGTGGTGACAATCTCTTGGCTCAGTGAATCGATGTGCGGCCCCAGGCCTTGGGCAGTGACAGGTTGGGGCTCCAGGGCTCCTCCTGCCACTGCCTGCCCGTTCCCGTTGAAGTGCGTATTTACAAAGTGCAGGGGTGAGGCCAGGCACAGGATGGATGTGTCTGAACTCATGGCTGCTGCCGCCACGCCGTCTTTCTCAGCAGAGTCCAGTTGGTGGGCAGTGTGGGCAGGCACTGCAAAGTTGTCATCCTCACTGGGTGGTCCCAAGTCTCTGGAATGAAACTCTTCCACAGAAGGAAACTCTGCCAAGTCCTTGGAGAAGGACTCTTCTGGCTCACTGGGAAGGCTCTGCTGGTCCAGATCTGAAAAGCATATTGGGAATATGAACATGGCCTCCCCAAACACCCCAGAATTCCCTGTTCTCAATCATCAATTGTCATTCCAAGCTCAGCTGCCAGTCTGTTTTCTGAATACACTTACGGTACTTGCCTTTATCTTATCTTATCCTGACCTTGAACAGAAATGTTCTTTCCTATTCTTTCATTAACAGGTCAGTTGCTGCTGTTCTATAGCTGTACTCCCTGATTAAAAGTCACCAACCCCACTATGATCTTGCTGCTGCTTTTCTTTCTTGTTCAATCATCTCACCAGAACAAATCTGAGCTGGTAAATGTATGCAGTATCATGCACATTAATGCTGATGTATGAAAGCTGTGTATCATAGTGGCTATGAAGAGTGTGAATTCCTTGGTTTGAATCTCACTTTTGCCATGTACTCATTAGGTGCTTTAGATATACCACCACTATCTCATTCTCACTCCTGCCCCCTGCACTACAATATGGGGGCAATAAAAACATAAGAACAGCCTTGCTGAATCAGACCTAAGCCCCATCTAGTCCTGCATCCTGTTCTCATATGCCTATGAGAAATCCACAAGCAGGACATGAGTGAAACAGCACTCTTCCCGCTTGGAACTCCCAGCAACTGGAATTCAGACACACTAGTGGACGGTGAACAAAGCCATTGTGGCCAGCAGCCATTGACAGCTTTATCATCCAGAAATTTGTCTTTTAAATCCATCCACATTGGTGGCCATTACTACGTCTTGTTGGAACTAATTCCATAGTTTAAACTACGGTATGTGCTATGTGAACCTCCTCTTGTCTGTTCTGAATCTTCCAACATGCAGCTTCATTACATGTCCTCAGATTTTTGTATTATGAGAAACACCTCTCTTTCTCTACACCATGCATAATCTTACATTGCTTACATTTAATTGCATTTCCCATTTTAATGTCTACTTCTCCTTTTGAAGCCCATCGCAATTCCTTTCTGTTTTAACCACCCCTAACAATTT